AGTTTTAAATCACTGTGAATGATGTTTTGAATAAGACAAATGATGCCACATGATTCAGTGTATCGGAATGGGGTGCTTGAAAACGTACCTACGTTAATAAAGAAGAAAAATATCCGTGAGATTTTTTTTATAAATGGTAAATTTTTGGGAACCTTTACTTTGGTCAGCAAATAAACACACAAAAAATGAATGGTGACTTATTAGATGTTTAGCTTTGCTACCATGTGTTTTCAATTAAAAATACCTTTTAAATTTATTAAATAAAAACCTACCTAAATATAATGTGCTAAAAAACCAGAGGCAGAAACTGTACTGCACTTTACATGGTAAATAGGACGTTGATATTGCTTAAGATTGCCAGAATTTCTATTGTGAAATCAGCATCATACAGAGATCGTTTTATCTTATTAGAATATCCAAGGCCTGACAGCCATTACACATTAATTCGTTTGTACTGTACGTATAATAAAAAAGTAAAAAATAATGCTATCTTGGAAAACTCAAAAACAACCTGTCACTAATTCAGATTAACTTGGCAACAGTTAAAGAAAAATAAAAAGAAGATTTTATTCCATCATAAAAAAATTGGTCGAAAATTGTTTTGACAGAACTTCCCTCGCTCCTGAAGTACAATGAAACATATCCAGCATTTTTGAAATGATTTTTTTCGTTACACAATTTTGTGAGGAGGTGATGATTTTTGCAAGGACACGTATATCAATTTGTGCAGTGTAATACTAAAAATGATAATTTTCTGGGAAAATGGAATGAGTCGTTCCTGATGATTCCACAAAATTTTGACATGACGTCATCAATTTTTTTAGGGGGAATAAACAGATATATTTTGATTAAAAATTTATCATGGTTACAACAACTTCAAAAGGTCTGCAATATTTCAAAGTATATATTCAGTTTTACAATTCTTGATTTAATCAATAAAACACATTGACTAGGTCATTAATTTTTTTGAGGCACCCTGTATAACCAAATCTAAAAAATATTAATGCAATGATAAATCACAAGTAAAAACTCATCATATTTTGCACATTTAAGATAGGATTTATTCAGCAATATTTTGAAGTGACGTCATCAATTTTTTAGGGGAGATGAGCAAAAACATTTTGATCAAAAATTTACCATGCTCATGATAACTTTAAAACATTTCAAAGCATTCGGTTTTGCAGTTCTTGTCAATCAATAAAATAAATTCACGCATTCAATCATTTTTCTGGGCCACCCTGTATAAGCAAATCCAAAAAATATTAATGGAATGATAAATCACAAGTAAAAACTCATCATATTTTGCACATTTTAATTACGATTTATACGGCAAAATCTTGACCTGACGTCATTAATTTTTTGGATGAGATGAGAGACTAAAAATGTATTAGGCCCTTCATAATTTTAAAACATCTGCAAGATTTCAAAGCATTTGGTTTTGCAGATTCAAAATTAAATTGCAAAATGTTGTTTTATAATTTTGACTCTTTTTCCAAAAATCTGGACGTTTTGGGTAAAAATTCAATACGGAATCATAAACTACATGTGTAGGACTATGTTATTTTATACAACTTAAAACCCATTTACTATGTGTAATTTTGAAGTGACGTCATCACATTATGGGGATGATTAGACAGATTTTCGTAACAGAGAAAATTGAGTATTAAAAAAATTTTACCAATAAATCCAAACAAGATTCTAAGGTACAGATCTCATGGTTCCGGCAAGATATCAAAAATATTCTGTTTGAGGAGGAGTTTCTTATTGAGACCGAAAGTAATTTCCGGAAGTCGAAATGTACAAAAAAAATTTCGTTAAGTAATTACCGAAGGTGGTCGTAAGAGGGGGCGTTAAAAAATTGAGATTTTCAAAAAGTTTCCTAAAAACACACAAAAAATTCTAGGATTCCCGACGTGCTTATTCGAAAAGTATAAGTTTATAGTTCAAAAACAAGCTTTTGTAAATATTCACTTAAAAATCTTTTTTTTATCCATATTTCATTGGGCGATTCTGGAAAAATGGTACGAGTTTTCGAAAAAATAAGGCCGAAAGTAACTTCTGGATGCCGAAATATACAAAAAAGTCTTTGGGTAATTTTCGAACATTGTCGTAAAAAGTCGAAATTTACAGTTATTGAAAAAGTGAGCTTGTGAAAAACTTTCCTAAAATCCCACAGAAAATTCTGGGGTGTACTCGTAGATCTCCACGTGCTTATTTAAAAATTATAGCATGTTTATCAAATAAATTGTTATGAAATAAACCCATACACCGCCCCGGTACGACGCCTATGGCTCGTCGAGAACTTTCTCATATGTACGCCAATGATGACTCATCGATGACGGCGGCCAGCGATCGCTAAAGAAAAGCCTGGAAGTGGAAGTCGCGATGGGAAACCCGGAAAAATCAAATCGAGTCGAGTGCATGTTCAGAATCCAGTTGCGCCGGAATTATTTCGTACATAATCACTCTGTAATTCGACGTGTAAATTTAAATTACTGAGAAATAAATTGTTGAGTTTAATCCACGCCGATTTTAATCGCCCGTACATCGTAACAAGATATAGAAATATTCACTTTAAAAAAGTCTTTTTTTTTATTCTAAAAATTGTCATATTTTATTGGGTAATTCTGGAAAAATGGTAGAATGTTTCCAAGAAATGAGGTCAATAGTAACTTCTGTAGTTTAACTATATGTACCACAAAAAAATCTCTTTCAGTAATTTTCAAAAGTGGTCTAAAAAAAGTTGTCTAAATATTCATAAGAGCTATTGAAAAATTGAGCTTTTCAAAAATTTGCCTAATAAAAATCCACAAAAAATTCTGAGATATAGTTCTCGACGTGCTTAAGGCATGTTTATGGTTCCAAGACAAGCTTTTAGAGATATTCTCGAGTACGAAGAAATAAGTCTCCCGTTTCCGTCTATCTGCCGACTGTCTGGATGTTTATTAAACAGATAATCTCCGAAACTACTGAATCCATTATTGTCAACTTTTGTATGTGTATTAGGCATATCATGTAGATAGTAAAACGCTAACCAAAATGTGACATAATCAAATTTTTGGGGAAGCTGGATTTGTTTTATTATATTTCAGGGAGAGGGAAGTTCTGTCGAAATATTCTTGAACAAATTTTTTATCTTAAAAATTGCCATATTTCATTGGGCGATTCTGGAAATGAAATAAAATTTTGATTTTTCAGTTTGTTTTTTCAATTGTACATTTTTCCAATTTTCGATTTTTAGGTTACTCGATTTTTCGATTTCCCATTTTGCAACATTTCAATTTCTGGATTTTTCAATTTTTCGATTCTTCAAGAAATGAGGCCGAGAGTAACTTCTGGGTTTCTAAATCTACAAAAAAAAATTCTTTAGGAAATTTTTGAAATTGATAGTCGAAAAAGGGTCCAAATTTTCATAAGGGGAGTATGGGAAAATGATATTATGAAAAAGTTGCCTAAAAGTCCACAAGAAATTATAGAATGTAGATATCGACGAGCTGGTGAAAAATTTATGACGTATGGTTCCGAAGCAAGATTTTAGAAATCCTTGAATCGAATTTCGAGTTTTCTGAAAACCTTAAAAAACGAGATTTAATTAAGCGATTCTGAAAAAACAGCGGGTATATACATAAACAAATAGTATTGATAGGAAAATACGACGAAATTCTTTTAAATTTTTAGTCATAAAAATGAGCTGAAATTTGAAACGCTTGCATATAATTTCCGAAACTATGCTGGTACGAGTATCGCTTACGAGTGTAGTGTCTGTCAAAAATAGTCTTACATTTTTCTTTTTTTTCTAAAGACCTCTGAACCCAGTTTAATACAATTTAAAATTACAGTGTACTACAAAAAATACAAACCATTGAAGTTTCATAAAAAAAAAACTAAAAATTTTAATTCTGAATCACCAATGGTAAGGGGGTTACACTGATTTTTTAAGTTTAGAACATGCCGGAAGGTAGTGTTAAAATTCATACGAATGAAAATTTGAGACAATGAAACAAAGGACTCCTTTTTAAACTGTCAAAAAAAAATCAAGTTTAACCAACTTTTCTGTAATTAATTTATAAAATATATCCTTAATTTTCAGAATGCAACATTCAAAGTGAGTTCATCAAAATAAAAATTGATGTGATCCATCCAGAGTTTTAAAAACGATTAGCCAGAAAACATCGTTACGTTATTAATTTTCAATTAGTACAGTTGTTGAAGTAATAAGGATTTTCTTCGAATCCACAAAGCTTCTGCGTGGAATCGTGAATTTTTCAGTGTTATCTAAGCGTCTCTCATGTGAGGAAAGCACAAAATCCAAATGTTGTGTTTCGATTGCCTCTCAGTTCATACATATTTAAAGACAATATAGAAACTAAACTTTTCTAATACCATTCTTGAAAAATCTAAGAAGCTTTTTTTCCGACAGTTTTTTAATACCTCGTTTTATAACGAAACGAATAATTTAAAACAATAATGAATTCACATATTTTTATTCAACAGATTTCTGTTTCAAATTAGATATTTAATAATTATTCTTCATTAAATAATAAATAGGTGTTTCCAATTTCGAATTTCACTATTGATAAAAATTATTTTGCTATTAATAAAAAGTTGGATGGGAACGTTAAAATATAAGAACCAAAATTCTGCTTACCAGAAGTCATGTTTCATATGTCCATATTTGTTTTTTTGAAAGTTAATATCTTTGCCTCTAGCTTTACAGTTCACATCCTTAATAATGGATGTTCAACAATTAAAGGATTAACTAAATAATTATATAAATAAAATCTTACAACTTCGGAAAAAATCTTAACAGAGTATACTAACAGTTCAGTTTATATATGAAGTATCCTCTTTATTACAACTTTCTATGAAGAAACGTTTACGATGTGGCTTTTTATCATTTTGCTACTTGTCGCTTAATCTAATAAATAAAAAATATGATTGAGAGATATAACTTGTTTGTCAGTATACGGAAATCTGGCATAGTGCAAGGTTATAGTGTAGTATAAAAACGCCATGTAGCAAGACATTTATCATCAGTTGAAGTATATCAACCACCAAACCAATATTTTTCACTATGAACACTTTCGTGGTAAGTAAATAATAGTAATAAACATTTATCATTATCACATACAGTATTAATCAACAACACGAAATTCTTAACATCTCCTGAAGCAGTGCAGATACCAAAAGAAAATTTACAGATCCCGTATATTCATTCAGCAAATAAAGCTCAAAATTTTGAAAAAAAATCTTCATTATGCAGCCAATTTTATAAAAAAAAATGAGGTATAATAGGAGCATTCTTCATTAAGCTTACCTGTCATAACAAATAACTTCGGTCAAAATGACTACTTTCAGATAGAAAAGTTTAGAGCATTTTTAACTGAAATGTGAGTTGATAGAATACCGGGTGTTTGTAAACTTACATATAAATTCGGATAATTTAGACAAAGCTCACAAAAATTGCTACCACCACAGGTCGTTGCTCTTTTCGCCGCCTTGGCCTGCGCCAATGCTGGCCTAATCGCCGCCCCCGCCGCCAGAATTTTGCAAGGCCCTAGCAGCAGAGCCACCGTCGTGGGCCCAGACGGAAGTGCAATCTCTGCTGTGGCTCCAGGTGGAAGGATCGTCGCTAGTCAACATCCCGGATTTGTAGCCCACGCTGCCCCCGTGGTGGCTGCCGCCCCAGTCGTCGCTCGTGCTGCTTACGCCGCCCCCGCCGTTGTGGCCCACCACGGTTATGCCGCCTACGGCGCTCCTCTTGCTTATGCAGGACATGGAATTATCGCTCGCCATGGATTGATCCTGTAATTTTTTCCAACAACGTGTAATTTAAACCTGTGTTTGTAAATATACCTTAATATAATTTAATATTGTGTGGAATACACGTCATTGTTTCACATATGAAATGGTTTTCCTGCGTTTTCTATTTCAAAAATTGCAGAATAAACAGATTTATTTACGATGGTAAAGCGAAATGTAAGTGTCTCAGGATTATATTTGTATTCAGCCGCTCTGCATCGCTTATGATAAATCGGTGTTTTATTCAGTTTGGATCATTTTAATGCAATATCATTTTCACGAGAAAAATGAAAAATATTGTTCATATTCTTGCGAAAATGTTCGGGTGTTAGCAAAAGCGCAGGTGTTTTTTTAATGGGTAAGAAGAATTTGTTTACAATGTTTTAAAAAACTAAAACGTAAAATTTAAAATGTACTAAATGAAACATTTTTAAATGTTTCTTTTTATATACTGAGTGTGCTTAAAAGTGAGAAAGTCTGACGTAACGCGTAGGCGCTGATTTCTAAGATAGAGTGATGGCAGGTTCGAACTTCGTGGGTCGATTTTTCGGAAGTTTTTAGGTCGACTCAGCCTTAAAACGAGTATCTGGGGTAACACCCTAGGGTAAAATAAAATAACTGTTCTCGGTCGGCTCTAGATATAGCAAGACCCCAACTGGGTCTGCAATAGGGCAACTATTGTTGTTATTATATTAAAGTGGGTTTGTGATTTTTGGTTTTTTTAATATCCGAAATTTATTCGCGTATATTTAGTAACTTTTGTGCTGTAGTGCAATATTTTCCTTATTTATTTTTTGTCCCTGAAAAGACAAAACTACGGTGTGATAGATAGCTGAGGGAATTCTTTTTGATTAGTGTTTTATTTGTTTTTATAGCTCCTAATATACGAAATGTTTGTTTTTAATTGTTAAGCTTATCTGAATATTATCGTGAGGATGATAAATAAAACTCACCCCTGTCTAAAAATCAGTGACGTGATTTCAACTTTTTTATTTCCTGAGCGTAAATTAAGGAAGTGACCCCTAGAGTACGAAAAATTTTTGCATTTTTTATTATCGTGAGGATGATAAATAAAACTCACCCCCGTCTAAAAATCAATGACGTGATTTCAACTGTTTTACTTCCTGAGCGTAAATTAAGAAAGTATATTAATCGAATCCATCGGGCCACTTGTCATTTTCATGTTTTCTCAACGTTTTATGACCCTTAGAGTACAAAAATTGTTTGCATTTTTTTCAATTTCTTTAATTTTTTAATTTTTCCATTGTTCAATGCTGCGATTTCATAATTACGATATTACAATTTTTTTGATTTTATAACACAATTTTTGGTTTTTTCATTTCCTTTGTTTTTTCAATGTCTCTTTCGATTTTACAATTTTTCGTTTATTCAATTTTAAAAATTTTCAACGTTTAATTTTTCAATTCTTCCATTTTCCAATTTAAAATTTTTTTAATTTTGCAATTTTTGGATTTCCAATTATCCGATTTTCCCAGTTCTTTCATTTTCTATATTTCAATTTTATAATACATGTTTCGGTTTTTCAATTTTGCACTTTTTCAATTTTTAAGATTCTCAATTTTTAATCTTTCGATTTTCCTATTTTTCGTTTCAATTTTTCAATTTTTCGTTTCTTCAATTTTTCAAGTCCTTGTTCTCCGATTATAAGTTTTCAAAGTTTTCATTTTATACTTTTTGTTTTTTCTTTTTCGATTTTTCAATTTTACATTTTTGTAATTTCTTCAGTTTTTTTATAGAGAAGCAGAAATTTCAATTTTTCAACGTTTCCAATTGAAGAGTGGAAAATAGGGAAAATTTCAAATCGAGGAACTAAAGAAACGAATAATTGAAACATTAAATAAATCGAAAAAAATTAATGAATCGAAAAATTGGAAGGAAGACAAAATGAATCGAATCCAAAAATTGGAAAACCCAAAAATTGTTAAATCAAAGAATTATGTGTAGAATCGTCAAAATTGTAACATTGAAAGATCGAAGAATTGAAAAATGAAATAACGGAAATTGAAAAGTTAAATATCGAGAAATTGAAAAATTGAATGAATGAAAAAGTTTTAAAATCCAGCAACTGAAAAATGGAAAAATTCTAAAATCGTAAATTGAAAAAGGGAAAAAATTAAACAATTACGTAATTAAAATGAAAACCAGAAAAATTGCAAATTCAAAATTGAAGAAACAAACAATTCAAAAATCGAGAAACTGAAAATTCTAGAATTGAAAAAACAAAAAATTAAAAATCATTAATAAGTTAATCACGCCTTTAGCGATGTCTAATTCGCGTAGAGTTGGTCACGTGGTACTTTAACGGCGTGTTAAAAATTTATCGCAATAAAATATTTCATTAAGCTTGTGTACACCGAATTTAAAAGTTGAAAAATACAAAAATTGAAAAATCCAAAAAGTGAAATATTTCACATTGAAAAAAAAGAAAAATTATGAAATCAGTACCCGGAAAAACCGAAACAAAAATTTGCAATTCAGAAAATTGAAGACACGAAAAGTTGAAAAATCAGAAAATTGAAAAATTAAAAATCGAAAACTCATGAAACTGCAAATCGAAAAATTGCAAAATATAAAAATTGAAACATCCAAATCTTGGAAAACCGCAAAACTGAAAAACTCAAAAATGAAAACTTGAAGTTGCATATCAAAACTGAAGAAACAAAAAAATAAAACTTTGAAAAATTACACATCGAAGCGTTGAAGAATCGAAAAATTGTGAAAATGAAGAAAATAAAAAGCCAAAACGAAAAATTGCAAATCGAAAATTTGAAAAAATACAAAATAAAAAATCGAAAAATTGAAAAATTAAAAATTGAAAACTCTGGAAAACTCACATCGAAACACTAAAGAAACAAAAAAAAAATGAAAAATTGAAAATTGAAAAATTCAAGTGAAAAAACTGCGGGTGTGTTATTTGCCGCGGATTTTTACCTTATAGAGGTTATCAGAAAACAAAAATCGCAAAATTTTTGTAAATTTTCAAAGGACCAGGATTTGTTGGACTGCACTTCAGAGGCGAAGAAAGTTCTGTCGAAATAACGACCAATTTTTTTGCTTTCCGAGCGTACACTGAACAAGTATAATAAGTAAAAGCATCCCACCGGCTAATGCCTACTTTCATGTTTTTTGTATGTTTCATGACCCATAGAGTGTGTCCTCTGTTCTCATATGTCTGTCGTCTATTTTTCTGTGTCTATTTTTATTAGACAGATAATCTCCAAAATTACTAGACAAACAAATTTTATAGATATCTACCTATGTATTTAAAGAATATCATGTAAATTATAAAATAGTAACCAAAATGTGTCTAATCACCCCCAGCGACAATATGGTGACGTCCCCTCAAAATTTTTCATAGAAAATGGTATTATATTTTTATAAAATAACTTCTTCAGGTACTATAAACTCCTACTATATTAAATATATGTATTTGTGAATTTGAAAAATTTTCTACGCTATAGGTCATATTTCTCCTACAATAGATGGCTCTACAGTAAATAAATCATTACTCATTAATGAGATTATTAATTTTCTTAAATATATATAAGGAAAATGTTTATTATTATCTAAAACAAGTTTTAAATTGTAATTCAATTTCACCCCCTCCCCCCCCCCCCCTTTTTGTCTTCTGTGCCACAATTTATTTACCTTTGATTGTTACAATTTTCATATTTATAAAAAAAAGCTTTGCATTTTCTGCATTTTTTTATTTCATTTCAAACAATTTTTCGTATGGCACATAAATAAGATTCCTAAATGTAATAACCATGATGAGCGACGACACCATGATGAGCGTAGGCGAGGGGAGCGTGGTGAGCAACGACAGCGGGGGCGGCGTAGGCAGCGTGAGCGACTACTGGAGCAGCGGCGACTACAGGAGCGGCGTGAGCGACAACACCGGCGTGGTGCGAAGCGACTACGGCACCACCCGGAGAAACGGAGGAGATGGCGCTACCGTCGGGACCTACAACGGTGGACCTGCTGCTGGGTCCTTGGATGATCTGGGCACTGGCGCAAGCCAAGAGGGCGAAGAGAGCAACAACAGCCTGTAATGGAATCATGTATCCATTTTCGACGTCCTACTGAAAATACTTACGAAGGATTTCATGGTGGATATTTGGCGATAGTCGAGTCGATCAACTGATGCCGTTTTGGTGTACGTTTGTCTTTTTATATTGTAATGATAACCTTGATGACCACACGCCCAATTTTCTTAAGTTTCCGTACGGGTACAAGTTTTTTGTTTACGTTTTGTCTTAATTAATTGTTAAACAAGCGATATTTAAATTGTTGCATTTTGTTGTGTTTAAGACGGTCGATTAATGATATGGAAATTTGGGTTTGAGTTATGGGAGGAATTTCGTAGAGTGAACATCATTTAAATGCAAGAGCAGGGATTGATGGAAGATATCATTAAAAAATAATTGTTGCCTTTTTTATATAGGATATTAGATTGTTATCACAGATATAACTGGCGTTCATGGTCATTATCTGCTTATTTTAAATAGCAAGCCACCTAATTTCGATTTTGATTTGTACATATATTTAAGATAAGTTTTTAATAATGAGATAAATTTAATACCGTTAATGAACAAAAATTCTTAGTAATAAATAATACGATCCTTTCTGTGTATTTTTTTTTTTTTTCTTAAATACACTATAATTAAGAAGTATTTCCATTTTATGAAGTTTTCTTAGTTAGCAATTTTCTTTCTAGTTTTAATTTATTTATTCTGCGTGGGTGTTTAGAATGTTTGTTAGTTATAATCTGTTGATATATATTTTTTTATCAAAAATGCAAAACAATGAAACCTTGAAAAGTATTGATGACTTCAATAGTTACGGAGGTTTTCCAATATAATTTCTCTGTAATCGTAGAATATTGCATGTATAAATTTTTTGTCGTTTCTAAGACGAATAATGAGGGATATTTTCTGAAATTTTTGTTTTTTTAATAAACAATTTGGAAGGATAAGTTGTGCTTTTATTATTTAATTAATATTTTAAAACTCTAATGGGATTCATATGTAAATCTACACAAAAAATACCTAATTAAAAAACAGACTAAATTGAAATGTTTCGAAGTTCATGAAATTGTGAATTTCATTAATTTCATAGTTTTTTTTTTCCATAAGGAAACGGTTAAACTTACGCATACAATGAAAAGTTTTTATTTGACGATCCTAAGCCAAGGAAATACTTACTTATATAAAGTTTATTTGGCGAATGACTAGTTTCATGTTTTCTCCATGTTTCATAGTTCCTAAAGTATAAAAAAGTAGGTCTCCTATTTCTGTGTATCTTTTACACTGAGCAACAAGAAATTTTCCACAAAGATTCTAATTGCAAACGTTTATTCGTTTTAGGGTACTAAAAATTTGATAAAAGCTTTTCTTAGCGTTAGTTTTTAAATTTAAAATAGAAAAATTTTCCGTTCCGTTTCTTTTAATGTGTTACTTAGTGATTCAAATTCAAAACATTACGTTAAATATAAGTTTTATTTTTTTAATTAAAATATCAGCAACAGTTACGTTGCACTTTAAGAAATATATGTGTCATATTTGCATTGTATTAAATTAAGCTTTCCCCTTCAAGCTAAAAACAATGGCGTTTACAAAATTTCAATATCTCTATCTGTTCTGAAGATATAAGACCGCGGAATTTTAATTGGGACACTCGGTATATCTAAAAAACTAATGCTATTTGTTTAAGTAGCGTGAATGAATTTCTGCAGTCACAATGTTTGTGGCAAACAAAATTATTGTTAATTTTGTTGCCAGTGTTATTGGTATATGATTTTATTAGACCAATAATTTAGGAAATTTTACATATATTTTTAAAATATCGCCTGGATAATAAAGAGTTAATCAAAACTTGACTAATCATTCATCCCCACTAAAAATTTGATGACATCATATCAAAATTTGTTAAAATAAATTCTATTAAAGTGTACAAAATAACATACTTCTACACCTCTGATACTTATTTGAAAATTGTTTACGCGACGTTTCTTCACAACAATAGCACAATGCTTTAGCCACCCTATTTACCTGTCCTAAACTCCATCGAACATATTTGGGACCTCTACTTCTAGACACGTTGGAAGACTTTTTTTTCAATTTTTGAAAGATTTTCCAGTTCAAATTTTGATCACTTTTTCTATCCATAAATTTGTTAAATATTTGAAAATAAGTATATAACATCAAATAAATTTGAAAATTCGAATAAATCGTTTATGTACCAGTGCCCTAATGAAATCTTTAACTAAGATCCTAAAATCGAGTAAAAAGCTTATTTATAGTGATTCTAGATGGTATATAAGTAATAAGTAGAGAGCGGAGTTTATGAAATTTGCATATCCGTTATTGTTTGCATATAAGTCTTGATATTTAATATGTGAACGAATCATGCTAATTAAAAATGAATACAGCTATAAAAAAATTGCATATTTGCATATATTTGCCTTCTGCTGCATATTTCACGTAACTGGCGCATATTTTGCATTTTTATCAATTTTTGTGCCAATTTGAAAAAAAAAATGTCATTCTATTGGCATTTATGTAGAGAGCCGAAATTTCATGAATCATATTGCAAATATTGTCCTGAGCTTCTAATAACTAGTAAAGGTTTGGGTTTTATGGTAATTTGGAGGAACCACTGGGTGTTACGCCATTCTTCCAGGTAAATTCGGGTCCTGATTACTTTTGGAAATACCGTTCATTCCCATATTTTTGTTCGTTACTTAAGTATATATATGATGGTGGTCGAACGGACTTTATCCTATTATTTGTCATCGTAAGTTTGCATTGAAAGCAACTCTGTTTTGTTGCGCCTGCTCTAAACCGGTAAGGATTGTTACATCTGTGGACGTAGTACGCCGTTTTTCTAATACATACTTTAGAATCACCGGAAAAAAATTTTTGTTAGAATATTTCGAAAAATATTTAAAAATAAATTTTTACCAAAATAGTAATTAAATAGTCGATCACTACAATTTTTCTATTTGTTCTGTTTATATTGTTTAGTATAAGAATATTATTTTTAAAAATGTGATTTATGTATTTTTTGTAATAAAAGTTAAGCTCGGGAAACCTGTTTTTGTAATTTATAAATAAATTTAGTTCGGCTTTTTTTTATTTTTGGAGCATATGCAACTGCATATCTCTGCATATATTGAGAAAGTTACTGCATATTTGCATACATTTGATGCATATCATATGATCATATTTCCCAAAATTTTGCTGCATATTTTCCGCTCTCTAGTAATAAATAATGTAAATTTATAATTTTTATGAGCACCTCTTGCAAAAAAAAATGCTTAAAATAAGTGTCTAAAATGACCAGGAAATTTCTTAAACTGGAACTCAAAATAAATCATTCATCTCTCTTCAACAGCATTTAAAAATAAGAAAGGGCCATACAAAATTATTTTTTCAGTGTCCACTATGACTGAACATAAAAAGTAAAGAGTTTGGAAACATCTTCATTTAGTGATTTTGAAAGTTAAGAGTATTAAGTATTATATTTTACAATATGGTTTTATTTTTATCTTTATATCGTATACTTTTGAGGAAATATATATTTTTTTGGAGGTTCTTCGACCTTGAAGTTTCACTTATTTCACTTACTTGTACTAAAAATGCTAATTTCCCATAATTATGACAAACATTGCATCTAAAGCTTAATTTAAAAACAAATTCATAATTTTTTTATATTATTTTATTTTATCATCATAAATTAATCCACACATTCCACAAATAAATAATTTAAAGGTAAAGACCATGATGAGCGTAGGCTACAGGGGCAGCATGTGCGACAACAGCTGGAGAATGGACAGTCTTGCTGGTGGCAATAGTTCCGGAAGGTCCAGCAACAACAGTGTCAACAGCGCTGTGAGAAACGACTCCATGGGCGCCATAGGCGACAGCGGGGGCAGCATAGGCGGCATGAGTGAGAGCTGGGGCGGCATACGCGGTGTGAGCGAGGGCGGGGGCGGCGTAAGCGGCGTAGGAGGTGTGAGCGAGGGCTGGGGCGGCGTAAGCGGCGTAGGAGGTGTGAGCGAGGGCTGGGGCGGCGTAAGCGGTGTGAGCTACGACGGGGGCGGCAGCAACAACGGGGGCAGCGTGGGCTACGAGTCCGGCATGATCTTCGGCAATGATGGAGCCTCCAGGGGCGACAGAGGAGATGGCGCTGCCGTCAGGGCCTACGACGGTGGTTCTGCTGCTGGGGCCTTGGATGATCTTGGCGGAGGGGGCGGCGATTAAACCGGCGTTGGCAGAAGCCAAGAAAGCGAAGATGGCGACAACAGCCTGAAATTCAAATAAATGTTTTATGTAATAAAAAAAAATAAATAAAATTGATTTGTATAGAACAAAAGCCAAAAATTAGAAACAAATTTAGAATTTTGACATTTGAATAGTAGCGCAAAAAGGGTGCAAAAATTTCGGTTACGTTGATACTAATAATATGACTAAACAATTGTAAAATTTTTGAAATTTAACAAGGTTTTTTATGGGAGCACTTACGAAGGTGTTCATTGTGTTGGTTGATTCTTGAACTGTTCAAGTGATGCTGAAGGATATTTACGATTCGCTTTTATAGGAAAAAACAACCTTGGAGTGGTCACACGCCCAATTTCTTTTTGGTCAGTATCCGTGTATGGATGTGTAGGGATTTTGGGAAATTATAATATAAACGGATAACAAGTTGAAAAAACGTGTCGTTAAAAATAGATTAAAAAATTACTGTCTACAATTTATTTATCTTTTTATTGATTCTAAAATAATTAACTACTATTAGAAAATGTATTTACTGTTGTAATTACACATTTTTTAACATGTTAATTTAACAATCATTAGAATACACTTAAATGCTTCTTAAACTTCATGTCTATGAACTTGGATGTCCATTACACACAAAATAATTTATTGATTATAAAAGTAATTAACTGTACAGATCGATTTTAAATCTATGGTAGGTATGTTATATATTATTTTAACAGGAATTTCTCACTTATTTGATTTTTTATTAATAAATTGGAGGAGAGATTTTTATCACATATTTTTTTATTTTAAATTTAAAAATATTGAAAAATGACATATTTGATTTACATTAACTAATCAGAACTTAAAATCCTTAAAATCATAACATATTACTGTTGAAATCACATTATTTTGCAATTTTGTTGCATCTCTTCTTTAATTTAAACTTTAAAAGTACATTAAATAACTGAATAATATTGCCAAATGCCACTTGAGCGTTGAAGAATCCATTACAAATTCCATAAACTTGCTATTTTGTTGGTATCCGTTTTTGTTATTGTTTCGTGAAAATATTTAATTATAAGGTAATATTTTAAATAACTTCTCTAATTTTGCCCCACGCTGTTCACTGGCCACCGTTGAACCATTTTTTTTTAACAAACATTCATTTTTCAATTTATCGGCCATAAAATTGATTTGTTCGTTTTAACAGAACAAATTAACATATTAGTCCTTTATGAAAAACAAACTATTAAGCAGAAAATAAATGGTTCAGTTTTTTTTTTAATTGGTCATCTGTATATTCCACTGATAATATGTAGTGATTACTACAATTGGCTTGTTAGTTACATCTTCGATCTTATACTTCTTGCCTGCATTCTAAGCAGATAAAAATTGTGTAAAAACGTTTTAAAATATTTTAATACATAAAATAGATTTTTTAACATACATTACAAACTTAATTATGTAGGTTTTACGAAAATAAATAATCTTTTTTTACAAAAACATTTTTAATCATTTTTTATAAGTATGAGTATGCAATGAGATTTATGACTATATTCAAACTTCTTTCTTAGTTCTACGAGTACCCTTTTGTGTTGACCTGAAGTATACTTACATATAAGTACAAACCTAATGAATAAATCCTACATTAAATTTGTAGATATCCCACATTTGAATAACGTAATCATTGTCATTAATTTAACTAAATGTGCATATTTTTCAAATTTAAAATGATTTTTCGCTTACGGCGACTACATATATAACAACTAAAAATAACCACAATCGTTTCCATATGTTAATTGGGTGGATTTGGTAATAATAAAAGTGAACTGAGGAATGAAAAGAATAGATTGTTATATTATTGTACTTGAAATAAATAGAAATGAGATATAAAATCTTTACATGTGAAACGAGGTTTGCATAAATAAAAATAATCATCAGTTCAATCATCAAAGTATAAATTTCATTTTGTAAAGTCGAAATACTTTCCTGCTAGCTGTATTTAATTTAAAATGCCACCAAAAATCGTACGCTTTTAATTAATCTATTGTATTAGTCAAGGGTATTATTGGGTACTATCTAAACCATCTAATTTATATGTCAGTTAGCCTTAAGAAAATTTTCGATCCATAAATAATTAGCGATTTATACAAAAGCTCGAGTACGGTTTACGTTTGCGGAACTCCTCTGGTTACGTCGGAGTGATTAAGCTATTGACCGACCATACAACCAGACAAGGTCACTAGTACCAATAATGGGCGTGACGAAATTTTGATTATCACTGCATACGCATATACTTTTCTTTCAATATCATTAACATTATTCTCAAAATGAAATTAAAATTGGGTGGAGTATGGCTGATCGAGTTCCTTGTAATTTATGATCGATATGTAACTAATAAAAAAATAATTATAATGTCATTAGTTGGATCATCACATTTACTATATTACAATTATTTGAACTGCATTAAAGATGCCCGTAATTTTATCGAAATTAAAGAAATCGTTTCAGTTAAATTAAATCAGAAACCCGTGACAATAAATTAAAAAATTAGAATTGACTGAAATAATTATAAAATTATATTATAACAACTTATGTTCGGGAAGTAAAAATATACAAAAGACTGGAATGTTGGGAAATCATGACATCATGTATCATGTCTGTGACGTTAATTTTTTATTATGGGTGTGGCCATTTCTGAAGCATACCGGACCATGGCAATAATAAAGAACTACAGTAACGAATGTGTTTTTTGTTTGAAATCGCCAAATTTTAAATGGAATTTCAGAAAATACAATTACGATGGAATATCTTAACAACAAATTTATAATGAATTTTGTTTAGAAATAAAATCAAAGTGGTCTGTGCAAGTGTTACTTTTTTATTATTTCGCCGTTAATTTTCTTATTTCTTTCGAAATATTATAGAAATGTTGTGCCCGCGGTAATATGCTTTATTATAGAAATTATAACGTTTTTTATTTTATAAATTGTTGTTCATTTTATTTATCAAGTACAATTTCTAAGAAATATTCCCTGTACGGGTTTTTCCTTTTGTATTTAGTACATAGGTATAGATCATTATTATACGCCTTAATTATTATGAATAATAATAATGGTTTATCAACATCATATTTTTGTTGTAGGAGTAATGCGCACAATATAAAGAACTAAATATCTGCGGAAAATTATTTATTTGATTTGTTATAAATTTCCTTTTACATTTGTATGTATTCAGTGGTAATACAAGTTTTTGTACAAATGAGGCACATTATAAAGAGGGATGGTATGTGGTACGCTCTTAATCCAAACAGGGTGTTCGGGAATGGGGTGCACTAACGGTACATGGGGCTGGACAAGGGGAAGTTCGTGATGAGTAATCAGTGGAAGTTCATGATGAATTGGAGCTATTTCATGAGGTACAACCAATGGAAGCTCATGGTGGACAATAGGCTGAATTGGAAGTACTTCATGAGGAACAACCACCGGAAGTTCATGATGAATGGGAACATGGGGTACAACCACTTCGGTAGGATGAACAACGGAAACTTCATGGTGGTGTACCACCTCAGGTGCAACTACAACAGGAACATCATGTAGACGTACTACTGGATGACTTTCAAGAATGGTAGCTGGCTCATGATGAGTAATGACTGGCAAATGTTCTTCTTGTGTGATTTCTCCAGATGGACCATGAATATTCGTCTTCACTATGGGAATGGTTTCAATTTTCGTCTCGGGAAGAATAATGCCAGCATTAGCGGCGGCCAGGAAGGCGAAGAGAGCGAAAAGTTGCTGCAATGTTAACAATAATTAGATTGTGTAATTATGTACAAAAGTATATAAAATATAATATGGTAAATGTGGTACTTACAGTGAACATGGTTGTAAGAGCTTCTCGAACTGGAATGATTTCAGTTTGAGTTCTTTGGTTTTTATAGTAAAGTAGCAACGATAATGTGTCCCATTTAGTTAATTCTTTTTTAAACGTATGATAAAAAAACCTCTAATTAGGAAAAAATAATTTTTGTTAAATGTGATAAAATGTTAATGGATGTGTTTCGCAATTTAATACATTGTTATGTCCAGGAAGTAATGGTTTTTCACAAATTTTTTTTATTACAAAATTTCTAAAAGTATTCACATTTTTGGATTTCTGCGTGATGACTAAAAAATCTTCTGCAATAATTATTAGAAGATTACGTCCTTGTGGAGATTTTTTTTAATAAAAGGTTTTTTTTTCAGGTAAGAGCAACGAAGAGTTTTGTTACACATTGCAGCTTCAAAAAAATGCAGCACATGTATAAAGGTATTTACATATTTCAGTACGTACGTTTTTTATCTGCAGTCGTTAATGCAGACCCTTCAAATACATGTCACTGGTTGGCACTCAAATAAACGAAAATTTGATTAAGTCGCAACATGTTTTATGATGATAATTGACTTATACAACATAAAATGTGATTAGTAAGGGAGTGCAAATAATCAATAATGCTCACATGCGGACAACGTGGAACTTAATTATTATGTTTAATATTTACAGTATTTCAGTTTATTAAAATAATCCAATTTTTTAACTAATATTGATTTATTCGCGATTAGCTCCCTATAATTTACATATTTTTTACAAAATCAGAATGGATGTACGTTTTTCAGTAGTATTATGAAAAATGACGTTATACACAAATGATACTTTAAAATAAAACTTTGACTTTCCATCAGATAACGTTAGTGACGTTAAGTTTATATATTTGTGCCAGTGTGTGAAATAACTAAAGGTCAGATTGTGTATAATATAATGAAATATATTACATTAAGTGTCATAGTCGTGGCAATTTTTTTCTATTTTTTTATTTTTGTCGCACTATGGACAGACACTAACATGGAGTAAACAAAAAACTTTTCCAAGACCGTAGACAAGCGAGCTGTCTTTCACATCGTCTGCTGTTTACAATGAGGAATGAGAAAAGCAGCAAGAAATGTAACGTCAATTAGAGATTGATTTTTGTTGAACACACATTTAATTTACGGTCTCAGTTTGTCAATTGTGTTGATTGAATATTTTGGAAAACCAAAAATTATAACAACTGTTTTCATATAAATATAACGTTGTCACTAATAACTTAAAAGTTACGTAGTATGTCTGTTTTTTATTTCGCATATAAAAAGAACTTATATAATAATATCGTTGGAAATACATATAACAAATAAAGTTTTAATAAAATAAAATGTTCCCATTTTTCCTTGTACGTGTACTTAATTAAACAGTGCAATTATTGTAATTTTTCTATGAGAGTTTAACACTTGAACTTACATACAGTAAAAAAAAAATTGTAAGAAAAGCTGTGATTCCATTTAAAAATAAGAATTTATTTTAATTTTGACCAACAAGTGAATGATTAATCTGTAATAGTTTTAAACAAGTTTTTTGTAGACTGTGCATCCTATAATTTATTCTTGTATTAGTAGTAATTTTTAAATATGTAGTTCGATGGCATCAACTGGGATAAAAAATTCGATTTTGTAAAGAAATTGACAAAAAACAGCTTACTGAAATGCTCGATATTTTTATTTATATACATTTTATACATTTATACAAATTCATTTTCAGTTCAATAATTTAACCTAGTCTATAAATCAACAAGCTTGTCATTATCAAAAAACAGCAACCGAAATTTTTTCTAATAAATCGAAAAAATTAACGGCACTAACAAAACTTGCTAAAATTACCAAACATTAGCATAAGGAACTGAATGTGAAACAACAGCATGGGCTGAATGTGCAAGAACAGGGGCGGCATGAGCTACAGCAACAGCTGGAGCTACATGAGCCCTACCAGTGACAACACTGCCAGAGGGTCCTACAATAGCAGAGTCAGCGACAGCATGAGCACCATGGTGAGCTACAACAGCGGGGGCAGCGTGGGCTACAGCCAAAGGAGCTGCGTGATGAGCGACAGCCAAGGGAGCTGCGTGATGAGCTACAGCAACGGGAGCCGCATGATGAGCTACAGCAAGGGGAGCCGCATGATGAGCTACAGCAAGGGGAGCCGCATGATGAGCTACAGCCGCGTGATGAGCTACAGCCACGGGAGCTGCATGATGAGCTACAGCAACAGGAGCATGATGAGCTACGACAGCTGGAGCAGAGTGAACTACGGAATGAGCGGAGTGGGCTACAGCAACAGGGGCGGAATGAGCGACGGCGACGGCGGGAGCGGCGTGAGCGGCGACGGCAACGGGGGCAGCGTGGGCGGCTACGACGGCTGGGGCGGCGTGAGCAAATACGGGAGCGTGGTGGGCTACTACAGCAGGTGCGGCGTGGGCGATTAATCCGTGATGTTCTTCAGTGACAATGGAACCTCCAGGGGCAACAGCGGAAATAGCGCTACCATCGTTTCCGATGACAGTGGTTCTGCTGCTTGGCCCTTGTAGAATTTTGGCGCCGTAAGAGGCGATGCCACTGGCTTGAGAAGTGGCCAAAACGGCGAGAATTACTACAATCTGGAATTTTGTTTTTTTTTATTGTTGTTGTTTTGCGGTTGTAATGATACTTACAAAGGAGTTCATGGTGCTAAGTGTGTGATCTGTGCTGAGCAACTGTGCAGTTTCCATGATAGGGAGGTATTTTATAGTGAATAGCCTTGCCCAAAAATTCGATCAAATTCTTCGGAGGTGCTTCCGCTTATGCAAGTTCAGTCACTGTTTCGCTAGGTTTTGTGTATCATTTTTTATGTAAATGTATTCAGTTGAGATATTTTTAAAATTTGATTGATCATAGAAAAAAAATGACAAGAATTAATGAAAGTTGAAGGTTGCAACGACAGTAATCATTAAAATCAAATAGCGCTATAAAATAATATTACAACAGTTGTAGTAGATATTTGATTATCTATTTGCCAAATGAATTAACATTATAAAGTACGATACATAGTAGTTCTAACCATTGTTGTCATATGCATTGTTTAACCATGTGTATATTTTCACCAACAAAACGCACACTGCATGCTATAACCACAAAACTAATGGCATTATGTCATATTTTGGGAAAGTAGTGAGTTTTCATCTTGCGTTGAATCAATTTGTACCTTACTGCAATAATATTTTGGATTTTTCTCTTATATTAAAAAACGTATAGATATGCATATAAATTCTCTATTTTTGTTTGTTTATATATCCGTAAGTAATTTAAACCATTTAAATTAATAAATTTGGCCTCATTTAAATTTATGCATGTTTTGAGTTACCTGTTATAGGCGACATTTCATTAATTACGAAAACGTAAATGTAAGCAAACGTTTTAATCAAGTTAATTTTAAATACTTTTGTTTAGGTAGGTGTAAGTTGAACTTTCAAATCTTGTGAAGTATCCACAAAAATATGAATAAAACATACAAATCGATAAAAACCTAACAAGTTCTTTCAACTTTGACAAAAGTTTACGTTTGTTCTATAATCTGGACGTGCACTGTTACAAAATAAATTAGTAATGAGTAATGACAATAATGATTTGTAACTAATTACAAGTTATTAGAATGTCCAGAACAAAAAGAAGAAATTTATTTATTTTTCATACAATGCCAGTATTGGTATATTGGCATTAATAATTAAAAAAAAATTATGCGAAAGTACATATCTTTTTTAAAATACGTGAAGGTTTTCAACAATATCGACAATATATATTTTATTTAAATTAAATCTAAGATTAAAGTTCGAAGAAAGTAGTCAGTTATTAAGAATAATATTGAACACAACCTCGGCGATAAGCACAGGAGGGTCAATGAAAGTAGAATTACCGGCAGCGTAAAAGCTGTTATCATTGTTTAATAATGGCGGTTCCTTGATTCTTTTCGTTGTTAAAGTAACCGAAAAACAACAATCACACAAATGTGAACTTGAAATTGGTTGTATTTTCCTTTTAGTTTTTTTTTTATTTCAGTTATAAATGAAAAATAACAAAAACATAAATATAAATATATGCTGTTAGATAGTAATTTGATGATTAACATAGTGCAACTGACACTGCTCGTGATGAAAGTCAGCTTTGCATCAAATGTCACACATCCGGTATTTGTGTAAAAGTGACTTCGATCAAGAGCACTCCTAGACACACCATGTTTAGTAACACCCACTGGTCTTTCATTCCAAAATGTTTTGTATTAATGAACAACAAGTGAATTATTGTGTTATACGTAATAGAATATAATAAATATAAAAAGTCCTCGTTTTCTGAATAAGTGATCACGTTTTTGTAGTAATATCTGGCTTTTGCGTCAACAGTATAAGTTTAAAAAACAAATTTTAAATACCTACAGTCTTCAGTTCAGTGATGCAACAATAAATAATAAGTATCAGAAAAAAAATGGTCCAAGTTTATTTCGACAGAACTTCCCTCGCGCCCGAAGTTTAAGTCCAACAAATCACGCTTCTTTGAAAATTTATAAAATTAGGGTTTGCTATGTTTGTTTTGTGATAACCTCTATAAAATAAAAACCAGCGGCATAAATAATGCCCCCACAATTGTACAAGTACGGACAATGTAAAATACTTATAACCAACGAGAAAAATGGCATCTCAGCATTAATAACAAAAGCTTTAACATAAAGTGTTTAGTTTATACTTAGGAAGAAGAAAAGAAACGCACAAGTTTGGCATCAAACGTGCAACCGCCGGTCCGCGCTAACGGTAAACTGTTATTATATTGTGTTAATTGTTTTTGTGAACATTTCCGGATTCGTACACCACAAGTATAGGAGAATATTGTTGTATAACATTTAAATCAACTTAAAATAGAATTCTTTCAGATGACGTCATCAAATTGTTGGTGGGGACCATCAGCCAGTAGTTTCGGAGATTACGTATCTAATAAAAATCAACACAGACGCCAGACATACAAACCGATGGAACCGGGAGATCACATTTTTCGAGCTCTTGGGGTCATGAAACGTCGTGAAAACATGAAATTGGAAAGTTGCCTGATGGACTCCATTACTGCGAGATCGTTCATCTTAGTGTTTTTTTTTTAATGATTGTTAATATTTTGCAGTAATGAACATTGTTAATGTTTTTAATCTTTTTAAGCATACCATAAACTTGACCGTTACAACTTATTATATTCTAAACTCAAAATACATTACCTATTGAATTACAAAACATTGTTTTTTAATCCAAACAAAAAAAAAATCGAACAAATCTGCTTAAAAATTTTCGTTTGTAACAATTTTAAGTATTTTGGCATGTAGAAGACAATAAGTAGGTACTTAAAAAATATGATCCAAAGTTATTTAGAAAGAATTCCTATTATTACTAAAACACAATCGATATACACAAGACCATTTTTTAGGTAATAGTGTTTTTTTGGTAATGCCAACATACTAAAGTAAAAATTACAGTAAAATTCATGAACCACATTTATAAATGCACATCGTTATACATAATTTCAAATGAGATTAATTAGCAAAGTTTTGAGGCGACGTCACCAAATTTTTGGAGGGGGGTGTACAAATATTTTTGAAGCGTTTGCAGCTTTATTTTTTGTTACATTATCTAGACATCTAAGGCAAAACATTAAGGCGTCTTACACTCAAAATTCCAGAGAAACTGGTCCATATGTATGTATGTAGATACACGTATATATTGACAGTTAAAGAAAACTTCAGAAGATCAGCTTTTGCTTTCCCTGAGAATCGAGGAATTTACCTCACTAAATTATTCGAGCCCTTTTATTATTATCTCCCAGACTGGTATCTGGTACCAGTCTAACTACATAGCCACAATGGATTCTTGCACTTTAAATTTAAGCAAAGTTAATTTAAGGAATCCATCACAGTTATCTTGAACGAACAATTAAGTAAGAAATAAAAACAGAAAACCATTTTTATACAAAAATATTTATTACATTTATCAATCACAACCATCACGGACGCATTTTTTTTACATTTTTGTTTAAATACCGGACTGCTGATAAGGTACCGTCATTTAATTATTTGGCTTAATTGGTCTAAGTCAGTCTGGAATTACCATACGGCAGCAGCCAAAGGAGCAGCCCAGGGTGCAGCCAAAGGAGCAGCAGCCAAAGGCTGAGAGGCAGTAACAGTACCGGAAGGTCCCGCAATAACAGTGGAACCTAAAAGAGAAGAACGAGCGACAAGACCGGGAGCTGCCAACACAGACGGAGCCGCCAAAGCAGCGGGAGCGGCCCAGGCAGCAGGGCCGGCAACCAGGGCAGAAGGACCTGCGACCACTGCAGATCTGGCAAGAACTGCGGGCTGAGCAGCAACAACAGCGGGAGCGGCAGCAACAACGGGAGCAGCAGCAGCGACCACTCCGGGGGTGGCGTCAGCAACGACGGCACCGCCAGGAGCAACAGACGAGATGGAGCTACCATCAGGTCCTATGACGGTGGCACTGCTGCTAGGTCCCTGGAGAACTCGGGCGGCTGGAGCAACGAGAACACCGGCATTGGCGCAAGCCAAAGCAGCAAGGAAGACTACAGCCTGAACAGAGATGTGCTTTATTATAACTGCGATATATTCTAATGTTGGTAGTACTTACGAAGGAGTTCATGTTGTTGGTTTTGTTGGTCTTTTAGACTTGGAGAGCAACTGATGTCTAAAGTTTGATTTAATTCGTTTTTATAACCGATTGTCAGCCTTACAAAAATCATTTACATAAATTTTGGTTATGATGCAAACTTTTTTGAAATTTCGTAGAGGACAATATGGTGGTGACATTAACCTTTTCGTTTCATTTTATCAAAAATACAGGTCTGGTGTCAGTTTGATGTCACGTGGACTAAAGGAAACACTGTTTCAGTTTGTCTGAATTGGATATATTTTTAAAAAGTGTCCAGTTTGTTTAAATTTGAATTAAAAATCAGTACAACCATATTATTTTTTTACGATGAGAAATTTGTTATTTAAAAGAATTGTGGATATCGGATTAATACATAGAAGGTAGACCTGAAATTTTAAGAAAAAATCTTTCTATATTAAAAATAACAGTTTTTGATGATAATGACAATTAATATGTCATGATTATATTAATCGAGATAATCAATGCAAGAAAAGCGAGATTTTTTCAGCCGGCCCTGCCCACTTGGAAGGTCAACTTGTTGGTGGAATAGAATATAATAAATTTCACAGTTACCGTTTATCATGTAAGTGTGGCTCAACCGATGAAATTATTTTTATATTTGTGATGTTTTATAAGTTATAAGCAATTTAAAATTTACGTACTTAGACCTAAATGGTTAAGTACTTATATTTATGAACTGTATTAAAAGTAATTGTAAATTTTGTTTCCCCGGAATAAAATTGTAGTAATAATTTAATAATCAACAGTATTATAATTCTTATTTTATTATTATTAAATGTAGGCGAACGCAACATCACTATATTCTCAAATTTTCGAGAAAATAGGGTGAATTATTCTTGATTTGAGCAATAAAATTCTGACCCATGAGTCAATTGAACCAGTAATTCAACATTTTTACGTCATTGCCACGGAGTTCATCACACGTCAGTGCTCTTATACAGGTATAAAATGTGATGATGCAATTTGGATAGTTTTACGAAAATCTGGATGCTTAGGATAAAAAGTCAAGGCGAATTCATGAACCACAAGTATAGGAATATGTTATTTTATAAAATATAAATGGCGTTTACTAAAAAAAAAATGAGGGGACATCATTAAATTGTTGGTGGGGATGATTATCCTCATTTTAACAATTGTCACATTTCATAAAATTAAAGTACTTGGTGACTCTTCTACAACTATATAGTTGGTATTTCCATGTAAGTGTCATACTAAATGATAAATATGGTTGAAAAAACGCATACCAAGAGCAAGTTGACATCTTTTCAGAAAATGCGACTATTTTGCATGCACTTTTAATCCCACTTCAAAGTAGAAGCATTTATTAATGAGCATTCTAAATCTGAAACAACAAATAGTGGAAAGCGCTGTTCTTGTATATTACAGAAATACAATTAACTGCATAATACCATTAACATAAACGGAACTACATGAACAGATCGCAGTAACAAACACTAGAAAGCTATAAATGTTAAGTAATTAATTAATTTATGTTAATTGTTTAAAACTCAAACAATGTTCTTGGGTGACAGATCGCATCAGGATAATATGTATTTTAGATAATGTTGACCATTTACAGGGAAAAACACACATCACTATGGTTAGAAAAAGTATGAACCTAATGTAAAATTTATCATTAGTCAAATTTTCCATTTATACTTAATAAAGATTTCCACACTTTACGTCGGTTGTTATTTTAAACATTATAGAAAACCTTTTACAGACGAAATAATTATTCCTCTTTGTCATTGGCCTCGTCGGTTCCGTTACTTTTATTTAATTTTTACATCTTATTAATAATAACAACTTTTTTCAAGCTATTTAAACTGTTTACCGGTTGTTATTCAAACTCTTTTTTTGTCCTAATGAATACTTGATGTCTTATAATAGTCTTACAAATCAATTTTTATGCATTCCATTGTATAATTAACCACGTCAACTACAGTTGGTCAGAAAACAAAGAATTGTGTACTATTTCCAATCTCACACATTTTGTGTTTTACGAAGTGACAAATTTGTCAGTCGTTCATGAACAAACTTCAACATGTTTCTTTCGTATCCGCCTAGCTTCAACATTTTAGGTCCAACTAGTATGACTCCCGCATAAGTAAAATTGCACCATTTTCTTTCTAATGCAAGTATGTGCATACACGCGGAAAGAAAATGTATATGCAACAATGGCCTAAACGGGTGTGACAAGGTTATTGATCACTATAAAACCAATTAGAACTTGCAATTGCAAGTGTATTAGAGTAGTTGCAATCGGTAGTGTTACTTCTTATCGCGATGAACACCCTCGTAAGTATTTTCCTGACGGTTTTTACCACAATAGCAATCAGATGCCATTCTTTATAAAAGTGCCCGGAAAAACCGCCCAATTTTAAAGGTCGCCTCGGTGCGGTGTGCTCGACCTTGTTTCAAACCAGACCCGGTAAATTAACAATATCGACTCCACCTGTCTAAAGAGCAAACCAAATAAAATTTCACGGAACAAATTTTAACATGAGTGGACGTTATAACAATGGCATCGAACGCCGAAGAAGACACAAAGCATAGAACATTAAATCTTGAAAACTCTTTTTGAACTTGAAAATTTTATAAACACATTTGGTAATGAAACTATTATTCAAAATTTATTACTCGACACTCGGTCTCATTTGTGTGATAATGCGAACCACCTGTTATTTATTATATTAGTGCTTCTTGAAACAAAATATCGTCAAATTTTTCAGTGTGTAGCCGTCTTCGTAGCTCTCGTAGCCGTAGCCCATGGCAGCGGTATTGGCTTGGGCCTTGGAGGATTGGGTAGTGCTGCCGTTATAGCCGGTCCTGCTGGAACCGTTACCACAGGGGGCCTTGGCGGCGCCATCATTGGTCCTGCCGGCATTGCTGGTGCTGGTATTCTTGGTCATGGCATTGGCGCCCCCTTGGTTACATCCCAAGCCGCCGCTCAATTAGCGCTTCAGTTGTCTGTTCCAGCTGGCTCTGGACTGGAAGGCCAGTGGATCCCAGACGTCAACGAAAAATTGTACGATGATGGATCTTACAAACCACACTTGTGGTAGAGTTTAAAATGACTGAAAAAACTACCATCATACATTTTATTTTTAATTAAGAGAAATATTTGTTTCCACGTAAATATTTGGCTTAATCAAATTTCGCAATAAATAATTCATCTTTCGTTCTTGTTCAGTTTTTTTTTCTTTATTTTGATTATTTAATTTTTACCAGCGAATAGAGGTTGACCTTATCGAACATGTACCTCAAAATAAAAGAATTCGACCCTCGAAGTTATTAAGTTATTACTCCATCCTACATCATTTGGTCCATTTGTTTGTTGAAATATTGGTTCTGGAAATAACACGCTCCATATCACATTCCTTAGAGAAATAAATAACGGTTCATTATTATTTTATAAGGTTCAAGAAATAAATCGAATCTCCGCAGGGTTGAATTTCATTCGGCTGGATTCTAATGTTTACTTTATTAAAAATGTAAATGTGTTTTTAATTAGCTGTTATCTAAAAGAATGCCGAATATATTTAAAAATTAAAATCTGTATTGAATGTTAAGCATGAATAAACAAACGGTCCACAGTTCTATACTTTTAATTGAATCTAAAGACTTCTCGCAGCTCAGCTGATAAGAAATTTAATTTGAGAATACAATGCGATGGCTTGACGTTTTTCGAATAAGCGACGGTTTCAATGGAATGTGGATTGATGAATTTGTGGAAGTTACATAACCCCAGAAATCAGTGGTAACACACTGTGTAGATGATTTTGCTTACTAATACACACAGTCAAAATAATTTTTTACGTGGCATTTTAATGTTAATTAAAATTTTCATAATTAACTCATCATGTTATTTAAATAAATATATTTAATTGTTACGCGTCCTTATTTTGGTTTCATTAACGGAAACAATAAAATACGAAGTTTAATTTTGAAGGTTTTGTGCAAAATCAGAATTATAAAAGTAATTTAGTAATTACTATAAATTTTTACACTAGTATTTATGTATCTGACAAATGTAACATATCTACTAGGTTTCATGCTCGAAATGTTTCCCGCATAATCTTAGTAAATAATATCGCATATTTGATCAATAAAAATTTTACTTTTTTTATGTAAATCGCAGTTGCATAATAGTGTGTAAATACTTAATATTTAAATTAAATTTAAGATTTTCCCTAATATCTAGTGAACTGAAATCATCAAATATTCATATTAATTACCTCGTTACATACTAATTAAGAGTAATATTACTAAAAATCGAAGAATTGAACAATTGAAAAGCCGAAATATCGAAGAATTGAAAAATCCATATATTGAAAACTTCCTAGAACTAAATGTTGAAAAATTGAGAAGTTTGGAAAATCGAGAAATCAAAAAATCGCAAAATTGAAGAATCGAAAAAACTGAAACATTGAAATCTCGAAAAATCGGAAAATTGAACAATTGAACATAGAAAAATTGAAAGATCTATCAATAGAAAAACTGAAAAGCTGGAAAATTGAAAATCCTAGAAATTGGAAAATCAAAACATCGAAAAATTCAAAATTGAAAAATTGGAAAATTTAAAATTTATAACAATCGATAAATCGAAAAATTAAAAAATTGGTCGAAAGTTGTTCCAACAGAAGTTCCCTCGCGCCTGATGAAAGAATGAAACAAAAAATATGCACCCTATCAGATTTAGGAATTTAACTCGTTAGAATGGAAATTCGCAATTTAACACCTTTTAAATTTAACAAGTTTTTACAAGATTAATAGAGGCAAAATCAGCCTTATCTTAGCAAGTACTAGCCCCGCCCACCCGCCCCCTATTTTCTCAGAGGGTATCTTGTTTGCCAAAATAAGTCTTATTTTAGCAAGTACTAGCGCCGCCCACCCGCCCCTTATTTTCTCAAAGGATATGTGATTTACCAAAATGCTAGTATTTGCTAAGATGAGACTGATTTTGGCAGATGACATAGCCTCTAAGAAAAGAGACGGTGGGTGGGTGGTGCTAGTACTTGGTAAGATAAAGCTGATTTTGGGAATTGACATATCCTCTGAGAAAATAGGGGGCAAATCTAAAAAATGTGAATTGAAAAGTCAAAAAATCGAAAAATCGGGCAATTGAACAATCGAAAAATTATAAAATTAAAATATCGAGAGAAAAATTGACGCGTTGGAATATTACTAAAAATCGATATTAATTATTAAACACTAAATATGGCGGTGCTATAGATTTAAAGTGTTTCTCTCTTTACTTATGCGTTAGTAGGACTAGTAATAGCTAAATAGCCAAACAGTGTAAGGAAATAACATTAGATACTATTACTAAGTACAATAAAAGTTAATTGTTCTTGTTCTTCACCAGAACAAAAAAAATCTTTGAAGTTTATTTCGACAGAACTTCGCCCTCTGAAGTACAGCCCAACAAATCCCGCTTCTTTGAGACTTTATACTATTTGATTTTGCGACATTTTATTTGTAATAACCTGTGTAATAATAGCAGTAACAGTGTAAAAATAAGTAAGGAATAATTTTGGTTAACGATTTACCATATACACGATATTCCTAACATACATATAAAATTTGACAACAATCGGTCTGGCAGTTTCTGTCTAACAAAAATCGACACAGATAACAGACAAGTCAGACAGACAGATGGAAACGCGAGACCTAATTTTTCGTACTCTAGGGGTCATGAAACGTTAAGAAAACATAAACGTAGTCATTCGTCAGTTGCCCCTATTACAGTATTCCCCTAGTTTACACTAAGGAAAGAATTACTACAATTATTATATTGTTAGAAAAAGAAAAAACGTTCTATTCTAAAATTAACATTAACATAAAACTGCTATAAGTCTACGTTACAATATTTGTATTTTTCTAGACAACAATTCGTTAGGCCTATATTCCCAAACAGATGACAGATACTGTATGTCATTTATCTGATTAATATAACATTTGAATTATATCTTAATATTTTCGTAAACTGCACGAAGTATTATTTAATGAAATTTAATTTATTATATCCTCAAAAATTTGATCTTTAAGTTGCTGATTTATTGATTAGTGCACCATACCGTGTACCAAAACACGTATGTAAAACACGAAATTGTTAGTACATCAGTAATGTTTTAATTTTTTCGTATATTGTACATAACGATGTATTTGTTCTTAGAATTAACACACCTAATTACCCTAAAATTGGGAAAAAATCAATAACAATAAGTTGATGGGTTATTCCTAGAAATTATGAAATAATTCTTTTAAAAATATTTTCGCAAGTGATGTCCGAAGAAACTTCCGAGTAAATTACAACTCTTAGCCTTATTATCTTCAGTTTATAAAATTAATAAAACGAATGGAAAAAGAAAGTTTAAATAGAATGCGACAAATAATTCAAAAACAGTTCATTAGACTCTTAACCCTGAGAGTACTGCGCAATTTAAATCAAATATTTTTTACGTATTTTTAAAAGTGTTGATATTATCATTTCTAGATAATTATCCGTTTGATCTTTATTATGACCTACAACATTTCTTTAATTGAGTACCTGCTGACAATAACCTACAACTAAAAGCAGGAAATGTAACCATTTGAACTACATTTAAGTTGCATTTTACATCTTTTCATCGAATCGTTTGCTTAATTTCAAAACTTTTCGTGCTTGCCATACTTAAAAAAATTGCATCAGACCGAATACGCACGATGTATGTAAATTTTTTTGTAACACACACGTATGATTGCGATACACAAAACATAATTTTAAGGAACTAAATGTATTGTTGAATGGGCGTGGGGTGTGCACAAGGTTATAAACAAGAGTATATATACGAAATTTGTGTCCTGTCTCAGTATCACTTTTGTGGCTAACTACAACCATTAAAGTAACCATCACAATGAACTCTTTGGTAAGTATTACATTAGCATTCGATTACATCAAATTCTGTTACTCAACTAATCAAGGTTACCCCAACTAAAATTGCCGTAATTGCAGGGTCTTGCCATCTTTTTGGTAGCTGTAGCTGCCGCCAACGCTGGTCTGCTCGCTGGGCATTTGGGCCTGGCTGGTGCCCCGATTGACAGCGCTGCCGTTGTTTCTGGACCTTCCGGTCACATCGTCAGATCCGGAGTTGCTGTAGCTCATGCCGCTCCTTTGGCCGTTGCTCATGCCGCTCCCCTCGCTGTCGCTCATGCCGCCCCAGTCGTAGCTCATGCTGCCCCACTTGCCGTCGCTCATGCTGCCCCCGTTGTATCCCATAGAGCCGCTCAGTTGGGTCTCTCGCTTTCTGTTCCAGCTGGTTCTGGATTGGAAGGACAATGGATCCCTGATATCAACGAAAAATTGTACGATGATGGTTCCTACAAACCTTACGTTTACGGTTTCTAAGTTGCTGCAAGAGTGATTATTTAATTCTGTGTTATACTGTAAATAAAATTTCAGAGTTCTTATAGAACAAAGAGTTGTCTTATTTTCCTGAAAATTACCTCTGTGGACCACAAATATTACAATCATAATTATTTCCTGGTTCTTGCTATGAAATATGTTACACATTATGATACAAACATAGTGGTAAAAAATTGTTGACACAAGATCTTATGGACTTCAAAAAACTTAATTACAAAACTGATTTAACTAGAAAACATCCATTGTGTTACTGTAAATTACAATCACTTTAATAACAAAAGCATTTCTTGTATTGTGACGATAATCGTAGACGAACCTTTAATAAATCTATGAAATATTAAATAGTCAATTAGTGTAATTAACCTAATTATATATTAATTCTCAAATTTCAAAATATTTAAAGTATTTCTCAATTTTACTTATTGTATCTACTGTAGCTAAATTCATGTTTTTCAACTTTTCATAGTTTCTAGAATACGGCAAAGTAGTTCCATCTGTGGTACAATTTGTTTATTTTGAGAATGTTCTGTATATGGTAAAAAGCTAAGAAAGTTTGATAACTTGTCTCAAAATCCTGCTTTGTAAACCCTATTTAAAATATATACAAATGCGATGTTTGTTTTGTGACAACCTGTATAAAGTAAAAACCAGCGACATAAATAACACCCCCGCAGCCTCTGCACAGTGGGGGTACACATTGCACAAGTGCGGACAATGTAAAATATATTTACAACAGATAAGCAACGGGAAAACATGGGCTCTTAGCAGTAATAACAAGTTTTAACTTCAAGTGTTTTATACATCGGAAGATTGTCACGTAGAAATTTGTTTGATTTGAATAAGTTTGTCGCCTTAAAACAGAGGACTTTAATTATTAATTAAGCTGCAGACGAACAGAATGTTCTGAATATTATTATTATAATCCTTATTAAATAAAGACGTGCTGATTCTCACCTTGTCGAGAAAATGGGGTGACTCGTTCTTAATTTGATCAATAAAAAATTTGTTAGAAATGACTTCATCAAATTGTTGGTGGGGATAGTTAACCAAATTTTGGTTAGCGTTTTATCACCCACATGATATTCCTAATATACATACGAAATTTGACACTCATCGGTCCAGTAGTTTCGATGAGTATGTGTTTAATAAATAAACATCGATACAGACGCCAGACAGACAGACATACGGAACCTGAAGAATACATTTTTCGTAATCTAGGGCTCATGAAACGTCGTAGTGCTACAACATATTTTATTTGGTGAACATAATATTAAAGCAAATTGCAATTTAACACAAAATCCCCAGATTTTTTTTAGAATATTTTTTATTTCTTTTATTATACTTTCGGGTTAAAAGAATTTAGTTCATGAATACCAACATTATAATAATTAGCAATTTTATAAAGTTATCATGTTATTCATTAAAATTTCTTATATAATTTTCACGCACCAAGAAGTAATACACAGTGTATCGTCTCAATTTATTATAAAATTGTTTCAAAACTACCACTTGATTAATAAAGATATTTTACAACGAAATGCATCTAGAATCAAGTGTAATTAACAGAGACCGGGCTTGCGCCAGTAACCTTCAAGTCGCCCATAGGCTCGTGTCCACGTCGCATTTACTGGGTTCAATTACAAGCCTGAATTAACGTTATGTATGTTAACAATTTTGTTCTCTTGAAAACTTCCTCCTGGAAACTGAGGTTCTAATACGATGGTGCGTTTTATATCCAGGGTGTCCCGCCAAAAGTGGGCAATGGATGCGAATTACACTCAAATTTGGTTTCATTTCACTTTGTCTTCACGTATTTAAGGGATACCTTTATGTTTTTTAGATTATTAACACGACTGATTGTTAAAAAAATCTCCATAAAAACTGATATTAAGTATTTAATAACCAACTGAAGCTTTGACAGTGCCAATAATGTACATTAGTTTTGCTTAGTAATCCAGGTCGTTAGGTTTGACTCATTGTTGCGTGCTCACAAACGTATAGGTAACAGTTGCTTTTTCAAGAAGCCATTATATGGAAAATGAAGTCGTTAAACAGCCTTAATCTTATTTTCGTATCTCTCGTGTGACAGAGCTTATGCACCACAACGATGTCCCACTTTGTAAGGGACAGCCTGTATAATCTATAGTCTAGACGTCGCTAGATATGCTTGAATTTGAAGGAATAACTAACTTTTTTGTACTATACAATTAGCAACCTGAATGCTAATGATTCCGACGGGAGGTTTGCTCCTTTGCTCGCACTGTCACTGATAATAATCAGCATTTGTTAATAATTTAACATCATTTTCACCTGAAATCGTCTTAGAAATGCTTCCACACGTTGTCTGAATGTAAATATAGACCAATATACACGGTTCACATAATTTTCGTAAAATTTTGACAGCTTAATACCGCTTTGATTAATGTTATTTGTACACATCAAATGGAATACATTTATACTCACAAATTATGAGATAAAAATTTTTAAAAACACTCTCTGACGTGCACGCTGTATTTATACAAAGAACGTGATTTACGGAAGTCGATATGGCTTGTAGAGTCCGCATTTACAAGTTACCAATTTCATTTAAATCTTTTGCCTTTATCAGTATAAATTGGTAATCGTTTCCACTTTGCAGTCAAAGTGGAAACGATTACCAATTCTTAGCCAGCGTTGAAAGTTATCCCTTTATTATTTAAATATTTAATTCATAACTAATTCGTATCTCTTGAACAATTAATACAATAGTTAAGGTGTTACTACAATAATGCATTTGATAATAATAAGCTTCGTTCCAAACTAATTACGTGGCTATAAAAAGCGATGTAATTATCTGTCTAATCTTACATGTAATAATTTTTCCAGCAAGACTTTTGATTCATTTATTGTATTTATTTATTAAGTTGGCTTACAACATCCATCTAAATAGCTACAAGAGTGAATGAATAAATTCACAAGGAGGTAAAGCGGCCTTTGACATATAAAATTAACCAGTAATTCAACATATCAATGAACACATTAGTTAACGTCACCTTTTAAGATTACAATAAATCATTTAGAATGAGATATTTTCCCCAACTTAACAAAATTTCCCAAATTTAAATATTTTTAATTATGTACGTCATATGAAAATATTACATAATTATGCAAAATATTTTTCTACTTAACAGCTGCCGTCAGTTTTTAAATTATAAATTTTGGCCAATCGGTGGTTATTTATAAAAATCCTAAATTCGGCATATTTATTATAACAGCAGAAATTTTGAAATTTTAATATCATGATAACTTACGTCAAGAAATATTAAACTAGTGAACTTTAAACGACCAAACCATATTTTTTTACACAATATCACTAACTAGGTGTTACTTAGTTTATCTGAAAACCACGTTTTCAGGTAGAATTCCATATCTTTAATTTAACAAAACGAAGACATCGCCAGTGGGTGTCACATATCTATACGTGATATCAACTTATTTTAATATTTTTTGTCCACTTGATCACAATTAAAAAACATTTTGTTCCACCATAATTGGGCGTGGACAAGGTTATGATCGACTATATAAATTCGAAAATTTTTGTTAAGTGTATCACTTGTTCAGCTTTAGTCAAGCACCAAGTACATCAAAATGAAATTCATCGTAAGTATTATCAGCAGCACCTTATTCTACCACATGCCTGTGGCCGTAACTTGTACCTCTTGTTTATGACATCTCATATTACAAGAGGACAAACGAGATCAGCAATAAAGCGTTGTCTTATTCCAGAGCGCCGTTGTCCTTCTCGTAGCTGTGGCCGCCGCCCATGCCGGTGTTGCCCCCATCGACAGCGCCGCCGTTCTTGCCGGTCCCTCTGGTACCGTAGTTAGATCTGGTGTTGCCGCCTATGCCTCCCCCGTCGCCTACGCTGCTGCTCCCTACGCCGCCTACGCCGCTGCTCCCATCGTCAGGAGCGGTATCGTCGCCGCCGGCCCCATCGCCTATGCTGCCGTCCCCGCCGGTTCTGGACTTGAAGGACAATGGATCCCAGACATCACCGAAAAATTCTACGATGATGGTAGCTACAAACCCCACGTCTACGGATATTAAACACCTTGAGGCTGAACTTCGCTATGTACCTTTTTGTTAAGACCATCTTAAATTTTGTGATCAAATAGAAAATAAATAATTTATTTTCCCTACATCCGTTTCGATTTTCCACTGTAAATAAGACAATGAATATGTTAAGTGTTTGTTGTAAATCCGCTCAACAACTTGTTTGAATGGCAAAGGAATTTGTTTTTTTACACACCCACTCCTCTAATTAGCAACTGTCGCTAGTGAAATTTGATTATTGTACTGGTTGGTTTTAGTGCTTCCTGCGAAAGAAATATGTAATGATTTTTCAAATGAGTACCTCAATTAATTTTTTTTATTAATGTTGTTCTTAGCTGTTTATTTTTCAGAATTAACCTGAAAAAGCGCTACCAAGGTCGTGTAGATTAATTAATACCAGATTAGACACGTAATTCGAACTTTCGAAGAGATTTCTTTTATTTAAACTAAAGTTATCCACAAAAACCAAAACTCGGAATGTAGATAATTTTGATCTCCCGAGCTTGCTCGTATTTAATCTTAGATTCAAAGAAACTTATTATTACATAATGTCGTAATGCAATGTTAGCACAAGTTAGTACGAGATGTGTTCAGTTAAAATAAATTAATCAATTTTTAAAGTTATATATAATTTTAGAAAGACATTTTTTTTAACTCAAAACATACGAAAATAACCCTGGACTTAATCCCCATATTCAGTTTTAAAAAACACACATTAATTCATTGGAAGTATGAGGTATGTGACCAGTGTTACGTAAAAAAATGCACACCTGATTTTATAGAACAAGAAATTCCACAGTTGTTGCAATCAAGAAAAGATTTTAGCATAGCATAAATTATTACTACGATTATCAGTGATTAAAATCGGCGTGGGTAAAACTCAACAATTTATTTCTTAGTAACTCACATTTACACGACTAATTACACAGCGATTATGTATAAAATAATTCCAGCGCAACTTGTCTGTATTTTCGCGACACTCGCTAGACTCGACTCGTTGACTGAATAATCTTGTTCCCGAAGGTGACCCTTATTTAACTTCATAGTTCCCTTTTAGATGTTTCGCAATCGAGGTCTTTCTGGCATACCCATCGCAACTTTTGCTTCCAGGCTTTTCCTTAGCGAACACCATCCGGCCGTCACCGACTCATCATCGCCGTACATACTAGAACCCATAGGCGTCGTACCGTGGCGGTGTATGGCTTTCTTTCGTAAAGATATTTAACTTTTTTTCTTCAGTTAAAACATAATTTGTTCTATTCCATTTTTGGTGTTTATATTCGATGCATCGAGTATAAGCACTGTTTACATTTTTGTAAAATATTTTATAACAATAATTCTTAGCTTAGTTTTTTTTTTTTAATGAAGGAGGCTGGATGTAATGTTGGTTGCATACTTCTACTGGATTCATGTGTGTTTTTAAAACTGAACATAGGGATTAGGCTCATATTTCATTTCATGTTTAGAGTTAAAAAATTTCTCGGCATAATTTACTTTCTGGGCGTTTCATGACCCCTACAGTACGAAACTAAAGGTCTTCCGTTTACATTTGTCTGATTATCCGTACTAGACAGATAATCTATATAATCTAGAAACTACTGGAACGTTGTTGCCAAATTTTACATGTCTGTGTGTATTTTAATTGGTCTAAAAAGCCTTATCAACATTTTGCCTAGTAAATACTATGTAAATTTTATAAAGTAAGAATCTCCCCTAGTCATTAAATTTGTTTCGGTGTTTGATTTCAGATGCGAAGGAAGTTCTGTCTAAATAAGTTTAGAACAATTTTTTCTTATATTTTCATAAACACCGATATTCTAAGCATAAAGATGAAGATTTTGAGTAAGGAGTGGAATCGAAATTATTTGGACATACAAAATTCCTTGCAACTTTTTTCATAGATTGCCCTGACATGTCAAATTTGACAATCAGTGAATTCAGAGTAATTGCTGTTCTATTCTGTAACTATACCTGGTGTTTCTTTCCTAGTTTAAATTATGCAGCAAAACCAAAAAAGAGCGCGTGAAGAAATTCTGCGCACTCATTTACAAAATAAACAAATGTCACATCGAGCAATAGGAAAACTATTAGGTATCGCTCATTCCACGGTCTCAAATGTTCTTAAAAATTTTCGCGAACGTTTGAACATTGACCACAAACCAGGAGCTGGTCAAAAACCAGGTCCTGTGTCGAAAGAAAATGCTCAAAAAGTTGTACAAGCATTTCGAAGAAACCCCAATTTATAAATTAGAGATGTAGCAAGGAAGGTGGGTGTGTCACATTCTTTTGTACAGAAAACTAAGAACAGAAAAGATTTGAAGACATTCAAAGTACAAAAATGCCCTAATCGGGATGAAAAACAAAATTTGGTCGCCAAAACTCGAAGTCGAAAATTATACACCGAATTGTTGACAAAGTCAAAATGCGTTATTACTGACGATGACGTATGTCAAAGCAGACTTTAAACAAATAAGTGGCCAAGAATATTATACGGCGGTCAGTAAATTGGATGTAGATCCAAAGTACAAACAAAAAAAAATTGCGAAATTTGCAAAAAAATTCTTAATATGGCCAAGCAATCTGCACTTGCGGAAAACGGAGTGACGTCTTCATAACGATAGGATCTATGAATAAAAAAATTTATAGAAAAGAATGTCTTCAAAAGCGGCTTTTACCTCTCCTTCAAAGTCATGAAGAACAGCCGCTGTTCTGGCCTGACCTGGCCACGTGTCATTATGCTCAAGATGTTATGAATTGGTATGAGGAAAACGAAGTGAATGTTGTACCGAAAAGTATGAACCCACCTAATTGTCCAGAGTTACGCCCGATTGAACGGTACTGGGCTATAATCAAGAGAACTCTCCAAAAATCCCAAAAAGAAGCAAAAAGTGCAGAAACTATGAAAATAATGTGGAAAAAATATGAAATAACTGTTACTAATACGACTATACAAAATTTAATGAGACATGTAAAACGAAAAGTCCGAGCTTTTGCGTATGGAATTTAATTTTAATAAAATAATACATTCTTAGCAATTGTTAAGTGTTTTTTCAAGTGGTGTAATTTTTTTATATTTTTATTATAAACGTTTTCCAAATAGTGACCGTTTTTTTATTTCCAAATAATATCGAATTCAGTCCTTATTTAGACATACTTATATTTCTTAATTGTAAAATAATGAGGTGTTTTTTTCTTGAGAATGAAAAAGTGGAAATAAAACCTCTAATACACCTCCAGTTCTAGATACAAATCACGGTGTATTTATTTATAAACATTTATTTAGTAATTTCGTTAAATTTAAACATTAATTTTATTATGTGTGGAGCTGACGAGCAAACTGTATAATGGTCTACTTCTCACAACGAGGGACAAAAAAGAGAGCTAAAAACCAAGTGCTAGCTTGAGGGTGATTTTTGTTAATTGCACGTTATAATGTAATGCTATCATATTTTTATTATTACGAACCATATTTTAATAACCCTTTATTCAACAGCTTTTTGTGTCTTACCAGCAATTTTGGGAGGTAGCAGGATAAATAAGATTTTTATTTAATGTAATCACTCTTTATGTGCAAAAAAAACGTACGTTTTAACACACTTAAACAGAACATTGCTGAATGAAAAAAAACTGTAATAATTACACTACAGATATTACTAAAAATTACGTATATAAAATACAAATGAGGTCCACTTAAAACTATTTTGAGATGATACCATCAGTTTTTTATCATCTCCAGGATAATTCAAGAGTACACCTAAAATTTCAAAGTTCGAAAATTAACCTATATTTTAAATATATTGGGATAGTAAATTTTTCTTGTCGAACAGGATATATCTGTTAAAGCAACTTTACTTCCTCAAGTTAGGAACATAATATAGTCCATCCAGTGAACGGCTAATTCCATGTTTACTCGATGTCCTGCTCCTGGAACATGAAAAGTAGGACCTCTTTCCTGTGTGCCTATCTGTCTGTCATCTGTCTGTTGGAGATTATTACTGCACTGATTGTTGTGAAAAATTTTATATTTGCTTTAAGCATATCGTGTAGATGGTAAATTGCTAACCAAAGTACTGTACAAAATAGTATGACTATACTTGTCACTTACTAGCTTTGAGCTGTTGCATATAGATTAAAAAAAAATCGAAATCGTACAACAAAATTACAAAATTTAACTTGGAAGCTACAAAATCGATTGCTCTGAAATTTTACACAGGCTTTTGGATCATAATAATCAAGCTAAATTGTTGATCATAATTGGACAGTTTATCTCTTCCAAAAATTTGATGACGTCATCTTAAAATTTGCTTTAAAATGTGGAAAATAATATACATTTGGCTCTGTTATTTATTAATTTGTCCTTGTCCTGATTTGGCCTCATCATTAGATGATTAGGAAATTAATAACACTTTTGAATTATTTATCAAACGTTTCAGTGTAGACTAGAAAACTGTATAAATTCGTGTTAGTGTTAACCGAATTAACACCTCACTGACACTTTCGGTATTTATTATTATTTATTACTATTAAAAAAATAATAATAAAAACGAAATCATGTATTCAATGTATTGCCAAATGTCAAACAAATTGAAATAACAATTTAAAAATATGGCATTTGTTTAATGATAATGTACATAATAATTAATATTCAGACTTGATAAAAATCTTGTTTTTTTTCTTAACTGGGCCCAATTTTGTTCGCTCAATATTAATATTAAATATACGCAACTATTATGATAATGCTATGTTTTGTCATTTCGTGAACAGTATTTGACAACACTATTTTAAAATATATTAAAAATCAATTCACATGTACAACTTTTGTACTTAAAAAGTTAAAGGGCTATATTCTCTAGTAAGATATATAGACAATCTTACGTGTCGTTAGTCGTTGTGTATTTTACCAACACCGAACTCTCTTAGTCACTGAAGGGGAATGTCTTACCCGTTTCCTTTTATACATACTGCAGCAAGTACGTTAAGAATTTTAATTGAAGTTATTCTTACCCACATTCAAGAACTTACTTGGTGTCGCATATTTATCAATAACAATAAAAAATGTAGCGGCCGCTTATTTGCCTTGACATTTATTATTCGTATATTATTATTAGTGCATGATTTTACGTTTCAGAAAACTGTTACAGTTTCACAACAGCAAATTACAATTCACGTAAATTTATGGCACGAGATCCGCGACTACAATGAGCCAGATGATCACTGTCTGGTGCGATTCACAATCTTGCAAGTTTTCCTGCCTTTTCAGTTAAGAAAACACATGTCTTGATTTGTAAAATTCAGTACATATAATGTTCCCCATTTGTACATTTGGAAAAAAAAAATGGACTTAGAAACTCCGTCATGAAGTAATTTTGATTTTTTACACTACACGATTGGTTTTCTAATTCTTTTGCAAATGTTTAAGTTTATTTTCTGACAATTATGAAAAGAAAAACTATACTGACACTCTTTTTTTGTATTCGTAAACGAAAATTCTTTTTTGAAAGTTAAACTGCAAAATTTTAAATTGGTAGCTTTAAGCTGTAAAAGGGCGGAAGGCTTTAAACCTCCTTAATTATTCGTAAACGCTATTTTTTGTTCTTTGAATGTCAAAGGAGAAAGTTGCAGATATGGTTCGTTACTTTATTATCATTGGGCATAAATTTAACATGTTAATAACATAGATTCCATTTTGAGGTCATTAATTCTATGTGTACAATAAAGAAAGTAATCGATCTAAGCAACCGGCGCTTGTTCTTTCATACGACATATGTTGCTTTTGTACTTTAGGTTTTTAGTTGTCAAAATAGAAAAAACTATTTATAATTTATTTAAGTAATTAATTACGTTTTCAAAAATTATGCAGTTAATAGTTTTACACTGTTTACACACCACAAAAGTTTTGATACCACGTTCACTCAAATTTAATTTCAACCACGATGTGTTGATTTCTGCGTAATTTATCTCTCGTGGTGGCTTTTGCAAACAATGTATCCGGTTCGTACCAAATAAATCCGACCTTTAACACTATTTTATAAAACGCACTAAGGTAATAATAACCAGTAACCGACTGTACGTAAAATTTGATGCACATAAAATATGCTCATAAAATCACAGTAAAAAGTTGTAAAAATCAAGCTGTATTATTTCAAAATGATACGTAAGAATTCGAAGAATTAATAACAAAAAATTGGTAACACATTTTTAAATTCCACATGCTCAATAAGCATTAAATGTTCTGCTTTGTCAATACAAGGCATAAAACACCCACTAAATACAAAACCGTAGGAACAAAAACATAAAATGATAACACAGTTCAGTTTTCCTTTATTTTCACCCAATTATCCGTTCAGAAGCGGAGGTTTATATTCTCTGAGGGTCCAATCAACCAGCAAGTGGAAATTTTTTGCTGTAACAAATAATTTAACATTTTAATTAAATTTGATTTAATGATTATAAAACTATAAACACTCATTTAAAAACCAACAATAACTTAGTTCGAGTGTTAGTGATTTGTACTTGTTCTATGCAATAAAATTTAGTGTACCTACAAGGAAATTATTTTAATTTTTATTAATCTTTTCTATTTATTATTATCTGTAAGGTGTAAACATAACATGGTTGACAATCGATTAAGATTATACTATGTACGTGACTACTTCACTTTTTACACTAATTATGTTCATTAATAAATAAATTGCTAAATTTTCATAACTCCGTTTGTAATTGTTTTTTAACTAGCAAGCGAACCTGTCTTGAAAATTAGACTATGAAACAGGTTCTAATCTTCTACTTTTTTAATACCCATTTTTCCATTATTATCTCGACTAATAATAATTATCAAGGCCTTCCCAATGCTTTGGCTATCGGCATTACTCGATGTTATTTATTATCAGTGGTGCGAGATGAATCATAAATCCACTACTTTTCAAAAGGGTTTTAATGAGAGGGTGAGTTATTTATAGGAAACTGCAGTAAATAGTCCATAAATTAAATTGCGACTACTAGTTGTATCTCGGTCTTCCTCGATTTGAGTAATAGGTACAACGAACTCAGATGATTTACATAATTTTATTGATGGGTTCAAACCAACGCATATTAATCATTCCTAAGGATTTAAACTTCACGTACCAACAAACCAGACGTTTACTAAAAACAATTAATTTGCAATTCCGACTTTTATGTGTGAAGTGATGATGTTAGTGGCATTTAGAGCAAATGAATAAATTTATTAATGGTTTTGTTAGACGCAGATTTCCATAAATTTTTGGTCTATTTTGCTTAATCCCAACCCAGCCAGTCAATATGCAAATCCGAATACGAATTATTTCGGATGGCTTTATTTATGCGGAAACTTTAATGTCAACATACTCGATTTGTGTGCAATTTTGGGCGTGTACAAGGCTGTCATCTCACTATAAAACAATCTGTAATACCAATTTCAGTATCATTCCTACAAGTCTCAACACCAGCAACATGAACACATACGTAAGTCAAAACTCGCACGCAACTTCCAAATTTCCTCACTGCATTATTTCCAGAGTTTCGTAGTCGCTTTTGCGGTAGTTGCCGTAGCTTCCGCAGGAAACGTCGTCCTTCCAGCAAGCACAGTTCTTTCTCGCACCATCGCGGGCCCCGCGGTGACGGCTCACTACGCCGCCCCCATCGGTACTCACTACGCCGCACATTACGCCGCCCCCATCGCTGCCCACTACCCCGCTCCCATCGCTGCCCACTACGCCGCTCCCATCTCTACAGGAGTACTTATTCCTGCTGGCTCGGGACTCGAGGGACAGTACATCCATGACAACACCGAGAAACTCTACGATGACGGTTCCTACAAGCCCGAAGTTAGGGCAACTCCACTTGTGGCCTCTCCTTTAGGAGCGGTACCAGCTGGCTCTGGACACGAAGGACACTACGTTCATGACAATACTGAGAAATTGTTCGATGATGGGTCTTACAAGCCTCAGATTCACCCTTTGCCATTGAGTGCCAGCCCCTACGGTCTTGTACCATCTGGTTCTGGACTCGAAGGACAGTACGTTCATGATTTGACTGAAAAATTGTTTGATGACGGTTCTTACAAACCAGGATTGTATGCTTAATTTTTATATGACTGACTGTTGAATAAAGTGTTAAGATAAAAAAATGTGAGTCTATTTATTAGAAAGTAATGCACGATTTACCACCAAGTAATGGCTTTCATACCACAATTTCTTTATACATAAGAGTACAGAAACATATTTTCTCGTTGATAACTAAAATGCTGCGTAATTTATTATAATTAGAGTAGTGCTAACGTTTGAAACTTTATTCTTGTTTCTCTTACTCTAATTGATAACTTTAATTTTCGTCGTAAATATCTTTTGTTTGTGGGCTTTAGAACCGTATTCTTCAGCTGCACAATTACTAAATACATAAATGTTACTTCTTATTGTAATATCTGTTCCACAGGTATGTAATCTTGATATTTGTTGATTCAACGAATCAACTAAACAAAATAACAAGGTCTATAAAGAAAACTAAAAATTTATATACTTATTGACAACAAAATTCATGAAATGATTCTATTTAGGTGATTTTACTCATGAAATGATTCTATTTAGGTGATTTTACTTGACTGTTAATAGTAGGCTGGCACAATGAAGAAAATTTTATTTTTCTTTGTTAATAAGGCATATATTATTATTATTATATACATCGGATGTCTCCAAATTCGTAATAATGTTTGAAGATACTGTAATGCGATAACAGCCTAAATTGTTTCCCCTCCATTTTTTACTTTTCAACAATTTATAGGTATGAAAATAAGAGAATATATTATGACTATTTAGTTGCCCTAAATCACAAAATTTACTGGATAATTTCTTCCGTTGATACACAAACTTTCCATGTTATTTACGTAATAACCATGTCAACAGAATCACAATTTTTAGAATTATCGTTAAAATTAACAGTTCTCTAATTTTTAAATTTTCGTGGTAATATACTGAACTTAATATGAAAAAAATATCTTTAATTTGTACAAATTGTTTTTTTCCTGAAGCACCTGAGAAAATTAAATACTTAAGTTAGAGTTGTTTTTCCGCCTCTTGAACGTGTGAACTTTTGTAGTAGAAGGCTGATTGATTACAACATGTTTCGACTTTATTAAAAATTTAAGTTATCTTCAGGTTTTTACAAGCTGAGATATGAAAAGTAACATGGATTTTGAAAATATTACTGAAATTACAATCACATACGTTTTATAATAATTAAAATAATTAAAAAACTCAAAAATTCCACAAAATGGTGGAATCATTCTGCAAAAAATGACAGCATTTTGTGGAATTTTTGGGTTTTTTAATTATTTTAATTATTATAAAACGTATGTGATTGTAATTTCATCAATGTTTTCAAAATCCATGTTACTTTTCATATCCTAGCTTGTATAAACCTGAAGATGACTTAAATTTTTAATAAAGTCTAAACATGTTGTTGTAATCAATCAGCCTTCTACTACAAAACTTCACACTTAAACAAGAATGAATCTCCAAAAATTAAATACTTAAGTATTTAAAAATGTAAGTTTATTAGTAAGAAAGTAATGTTTTCGAGCCTAGGGAGGTTCTTTGAACATAACCTCACAATTTTGACTTTCCAAGTATAAACTAGGGTCTATTTGAGAAGTGGTCCATTGCATGTGTTTAAAAAGTAGTTCCAACGTTTCCGTCTGTCTGCCGCCTATTATCTATCAATCACTTTGTTAGACAAATAATCTTTGATATTAGTGGACCAATTGCTGTCACATTTTAGACGTCTCCACCAAAAAATTGATGACGCCATATCAAAATTTTACTTAGTAAATTTCATTTAAAATGTTTATCTGTAATTTATTCCATTTTTTTTTCTTGGAAAAAATTTTGCCATTTAACTTAGAAACTATAAACTATTAAAGGGTGACATACTCTCTTATTTCTGGTTTAATAATAATCTATTGATAACTTTTGTAATACATTTACGGGTTATAAATTTTAAAAACAATCTTTTTTAAACTTTAGCAGGATAATAATACTGGTTTATTGATTACAGAGTAACAATTAAAATTTCTTTATTTATCCCATCTGGCAAGTCATTGACGTTATGTGTTTAGACATGCAACATTTTTTGCGATCTTGCAATATATGTATTTTCAACTTTTAGAATTAGTTAAATGAGATGCATTAAAAGTAGATTAAATGAATCAATCGATTTTTTGCTTTAAACCAAAAATGCCACACCTATCTGTTTTTCCACAATTCTTCGAACGTAGTACTCCAATTCTTTTATTTTACGATGGACAAAAATATGGAACATTTTGGAATTTTTATATATTTATTTTAAACATTTTAGGAATTTTTAAATGTCTGAAAATGAAATTGTGATTTTTTATTGTTATATGAAAACAAAAAAAAATAGGTTTTTGAAAGTTGTCCAAAAATTGTAGATATAAGGATATCTCTGGACGAGCTAATTCGAAAAATGGTCTCGGACCAAGATCTTCGAAAAACATTAAATTTCTAGTTTTTTTTTTGTTTTCATAGCATTAACAAAATTTGTTTCAAAATTCCATTCTCATAAAATTTTAAAAATTATTTAGCTAAAACATTTAAAATAGAGCATTCTTCCAGTACAAAGTTACAAATTTAAATCAACAAATAGAAACAGTTTTTAAAAGTTTCAAGATTTTCCATATTTTTGTTTATGAATACCTATAGTATATAAAAAAGAATCCATAAAAAAATGCTCAATGAACTGAACATGTTTGAATGTGCTTCAGTGCTAACTTTAAGCCTTTTTTGTATTTGTTTTAACGTTTTTTTTTTAAGTGCGTAAATCTGTTAAAGCCAAGAAGATTTTTGGAAAAAAAATCAAAATTGTCTAACATTTTGCATTTAGTCTTGAACCTGAAGTCGAATGCTCTGAAATTTTAGAGACGTTTTAAAGTTATTGTAATCATGGTAAATTTTTAATCAAAATATATGCTTATCCCCCCAAAAATTGCTGACGTCATCTTAAAATTTTGTCGAATAAATCAATCTTATCTAAAATGTGCAAAATGTGATCAGTCTAAACTTATCATTTATCATAGCATTAATAGTGTGATAGGTTACATCCAACGAATGGCTACTTTCATGTTTACTCGATGTCTTATGACCCCCAGAGTACAAAAAAGTAGGTCTTGCGTTTCCGTCTTGCGTTTTTATTAGATAGAGAAACAGAAAGCCTCCGAAACTACTGGACCGATTGTCGTCAAGTTTTATATGTATGTTAGGAATACCGTGTAGATGGCAAAACGCTAATCAAAATGTGTCTAATTATCTCCATCGACAATGTGATAACGTCATCTACAAAATTTACAATGATAAAATAAAATACTCTTGCACTTGTGATTTATGATTCACTGAGATTTAGTACCCCACAAATTCAATTTTTTGGAAAACAAATCAAAGTTTTTAACTTATTTAAACCGAATGCTCTGAATTTTTGCAAGCGTCGCAAGCAGTGTAAAACGTTAATAAAAATTTATTCGTTGATGCCATCGGAAAAAAATTGTTAACGTGATCTCAAAATTTTGCCGAATATATCCTTTTTCAAAAACGTAAACGTGATTTATGAATGCATTCATATTTTCGAGAATTACCTACACAGGGTGAATCACAAAATTAATGAATGAGGCAATCTATTACATTGATATATGAGTCCTTGATAAACTATTGATGACGTCATCACAGAATTGGTTATTAAGTTATGAAAACACTCACTCCAAACATAACATAGCATGCTTTTTACCTTTACTTTAAGATTACATACATAACCTTATTTTGACTTATACTTTTTTCACAAAAAAAATAAAATTCTCAAAATTAAATCTTAGAATTTTTCCAAGAAATACATAGTTAAAAAAATTGACATAGAAATCACTAATTTTAATATATTATATCATATTATGTATATTAAATTATCGTAAAATTTGTAATAAATCATAATTATTATTGATAAAGTTAAAATCCGATTATTTGTTACATAAAATGGTGGTAACACATTACGCAAAAGACAACAAAGGATAATTATAGCACTGTAATTGTATTATATACACTACTTTATTTATGAACGTGGAATTAATTCATCCCAGATGTAATTAAGAGTTTGTGGTACGTATCTCAATTATTTTTAGTGTTTTTATTTATGCCAAAATAAAATATTTTCACTTACTTTATAAACATCAAATAATTACATAACTTTCCCTAAACTTTAGCACGCATACATATTTATGTGCACAATAATAGACCAGAAACATGAAACTGAAATTTGGATTTATACGTTTTTTCCAGACATTTTTCATTATTTCGTTACATAATTAAATATAAATTTACAGTTCTAAATGAGCATTATAATTTTTATCCATACGCTTTCTGAGAGTTTTTACGTTAATGTCATTGATATTCGAAAAAATGCAGCAATCCATTCACTTTTCGCGTAATCTTAGAAATATTCACACAGATGTTTTAATAAAACGTAATAATCACAGTTACCCATCCTCCGGCAAAAGCTTTATCAATCAGCGCCGGATGAATGAATGCAGACGACTACATGAATGAATCCTCAGTAGCCGTCCTTCCAAAGTCTGATCTTCCAGACAATTTACTATTTCTTAACAATCTAGGCCGTTCAATACCACTATCTAAAGGGAACAATTGCTTGTGCAAGGTTATTTCCAACACTATAAATGCTATTCCATTCCCTGTAATTTTCACTTGTTCAGTCAGATCAGAACAATGCACTCCTTGGTAAGTACCACCACCTCAGTTTTAACCCCAGCTAACCTCAACGTTTCCAGACCGCCGCCGTCTTTTTCGTAGCCGTTGCCGCCGCCAGCGCTAGTGGCATCCTTGGTGTCCACGGAGGGCTCGGTGTGCTAGGTGGTCTTGGCGGAGTCGGAGTCGGTCTCGGTGGCGTCGGACTCGGTCTTGGTGGAGTCGGAGTCGGTCATGGCATCGTCGACCCTATTGCCATCGCCAACACCGTTAACGCTGGACGCGTCACCGACGTTGGCGCCCCAGCCGTCCTCTCAGGACCTGCCGGAAGCGTGGTTAGAGCCGGAGTAGCCGCCGTTCCCGCTGCCATCGCCGGTCCCGCCGTCATCGCCGGACACGGCATCGCCGCCCCCGGAATCATTGGAGGAGCTGGTCTCATTGGTGCCGGAGCTGGTATTCTTGGCCATGGTGGCTTGATTGGATCTGGACTGGAAGGTCAATGGATCCCTGACATCAACGAAAAATTGTACGATGATGGTTCCTACAAACCTCACGTATATGGTCATTAAGTCGTGGGAGATGGGGTGAAGTTTGGAAAATTTCCGGTGTATATATAATCAAGTCCCCAGTGTGTTCATTTTTTTCTACAGTTCTCTTTCCTCTTGTATTTTTTCTTCAATAAAAATTTAATTGTCTTTGTTGTTTTCACGGATGTGGATGACGAAAACGTTATTCAGAATACCTAAATACCTACCTACTTTCCAACTACGTTTCACGCTAAATCATTTCAGTTGCGCATTTTGTGTTTGATTGCGTGAAATTTAAAAATAAACATGAATAAATGTTAAATTGTATCGAACTTTAACATATTTCGCAAGATGTAGCCTACAATAAAAGCCGTAGGTAATGCAGAAATGACTAATTTAGTGTTAACAATAGTTATCGAGTGCAATGTACATGAAATAAAAATAAAACTTCAAGTAAATTTGAAGTTATTTAACGATAAAATTTATTGCTATAAAGGTCGCGAACGAGATACCTTTGATACCTTATTATATTATAGGGTGTGTTCCTCCATTCCTCTAGATTATAGTCTATGACCACAAGTTTTTATTCGACCGTAACAAATGTGTTTTAACCTTTACGATCACTGTATTTCTTAGAATATTTTCTACTTTATCTAAATATAGATACCGAAAAAATATTCAAAACGTCGAACGAACCTTAAATTGCAATTTTTATACCTTATTAACAAATTCAGAAAATCAACAATTTGTGACTGCAACTTTTTAAAAAGTGTCGCTTACATATTTGATTTTCTACCAGTGTCAGCCTTGAATTAATTTCAATATTATTTGTTTGACAGTTGTACAAATTGATACGTTAATGTACTAGAACGAAGATTTTTCAGATAGGTTTTGCTTTTATCCACTATTTTCTTGTTTAATATATGTATAGTTCTGATGATGATACGGCTGTATCGAAACATGTCAACAATTTGAGTAAACGTTTACTACTTGTGCCGCTAACATTAATTTCTCCAAATTTTGAATTTGAACATGTTTCGTTCAAAACAAGGTGTCACCAACATAAAATAAATGTTGCCTTGAACAATGGTGAACATTTTCTACATTTATTTTGATTTTTTAACGACAACAATTTGTTTATTTTTATTGTAAGTTTAATTCTTTAATAACATAGGATATATTCATATCCTATGTTATTAAAGATATAATTAACCAAAATTATTATACAGATCCGTGTGGAGATATTTGTCGTGCATCCTTTGGCATTTAGTAAAATACATATAAAGTGATACGCGGCACGCTTCCATGACCTACTTCGATTCAATAATCATTTGTAGAAACCAAATATAACCATTTTCTTCATGTCTTGTCCTTTTTCTTTTTTTGAATAAAGCACAAATCATTACGTCTTCACAAATTAGTTCCTTCTGCACTTTTTGCCTTGAAACTAATTACTAATTAATTACCTATATATGAAAACACGTGCACGAAAATATTATTTATGTCTTCACTAATGACAATGTCAGTACTAAAAAATTAGTCGAAGGTTATTTCGACAGAACTTCCCTCGTCCCTAAAGTACAGTTGAACAGGCTTTGAAAAATTATAAAATTTAACTTGAGAATTGTTTCTTGATGATGAAACCTATGAGGTAAAATGAATAAATGTGTGAATTGCTAAAGTACAGGTAAAGAAGTATCACAAGCTTATGTTTTTAATGAGTTTTTCCATATAGATACAAATTAGTAAAGTAAAGTAAAGTAAAGTAAATTAAAGTAAATTTATTAGCACATTAACAGAATGTTTAGTACACGTCAAACAGAAATATAGATTAAAAATATGTAACAGTTCACAGATTTACATAGGTGACAGACATTAAAATTTATAATTCAAGTATTCGTCCAGGTTATAGAAGGCCATGTCAAGGAGAAATTGCTTTATTTTATTTTTAAAATTATTAGAGTTAAGAGTTCTGTAACATGAAGGAAGGTGGTTATACAAATTGATATTAATAGATAGTTTTTCCGTTTTAGCTAAGCGAAATCGTTTGGATCTAATCAAACTTGCTGCTCTGGTGTTATGCTGATGTATTTGATGTTGATATGTATATTTGCTTCGGTTTTCATGTATATATATTAATGTCTGATAAATAAAAATGCAAGGGAAAGTTAATATACGATGTTTGATAAAAAAAGGGCGACAGTGTTCACGCCAGCCTAGGCCTAAGATGGTGCGAATAGCACTTTTTTGTAGGCGAAAAATACTGATGGAGGAAGTGGAACCACCCCAAATCGTTACAGCATAGGTAATGTTTGAATGGAATAAGCCATAGTAAACAGACATTAACGCTTCAAAATCAACAGTGTTCTTTATACTTCGTATTAGGAAGATAATTGAAGATAGTTTACCTGCTAAATTTTTTATATGTTCACTCCATGTTAGATTTACATCAATAGTTATGCCTAATAATTTAACAGAACTGATGCTAATGGAGTTACTTGAGGATACTTCAAGTTGCTGGGTTTTAGATTTGTTGAGCTTTAACGTATTGGAGGCAAACCAAACTTGGGCATTTTTCATTGCTGTCTCTGCTTTAGCTGCTGCCGTCTTTATGTCACGATCAGTTGTAATAATAGTTGTGTCATCTGCGAACATCACACAGTCAGCGTTTTCCTTGATGCAGGTATAGAAATCATTGGTGTAAATTATGAAAAGAAGTGGCCCTAAAACTGACCCTTGCGGTACTCCAACACTAACATTTAAAGTATTCGAGTAGTTACCGTTTGCAGAGACACACTGTTTTCTGCCAGTGAGGTAGGATGCCAGTAAGTTAAGTGGTATTCCTCTAATGCCATAAAACTCAAGTTTTGATATTAGTATGGGGTGGTTGACACAGTCAAAAGCCTTACTTAAATCGCATAATGTAATCCTACTATGTTCCCCATTTTCAATAGCCTCGATTATGTTTACGATAAGGTGTAATAGAGCTTTGGATGTTGAATTATTCCGTCTGAATCCAAATTGGACAGGATTAAATAGCTGAAACCGTTCGTAGTATAGTTCAAGTCTTTGTTTGATCAAAATTTCTAATACTTTCCCAAAAATTGGGATAATACTAATGGGCCTATAGTTATCTATATTAGTAGGGTCACCTTTCTTGAAGACTGGTGTAATTTTACTCACTTTGAAGCAATCAGGAAAAATTCCAATGCCAAGACATTTATTGATGAAGTTAGTGAATGGAGTTAACAATATGTTCACCGTAGATTTTAAAATTTTTGCGTTTATATCATAAACATCAGTTGAGGGAGAATTCTTTAATTTGTTAATAACATTCAAGATTTCAATTTCACATGTCGGATGCAAGAAAAATGAGGAATTATTATTAGGCATTTTATTCATTAAATTTAGAGCTGGAGATGTGATGGTAGTATCAATCTCTTTTAGAATCTTATGAGCAATAGATGAGAAGTAATCATTCATATCATCAACATCAAATTTCGATACGTTTGAGGCATTACTTTTGTTACGATGCCGGTTTACAAAACGCCAGGTATCCTTAGAAATGTTATTAGAATTAGATATAAAAGAACTGAATGCATTTTTTTTAGCTATCTTAATAGCCATTCGGTAATTATATCTAGCTTTAAGATAAGCATTTTTGTCAACTATATCTTTGGAACTGTTTGAAACTACTTTAAGAGCTATTACTGAATCCCTCATAACTTTGAGTTCATTATTAAACCACATCACACCACTAGCTGAGTCTGTAGCTTTTTGCAGTGGAAAACATAACTCAATGAGTGATTTATATGTGTGAACAAGGTAATCCGCAAAAGTATTAACGTCATTACTAGTAGATTCTTTATAAGACCAATCAATTAATTTAAGATGTTCTTTTAATTGGAATGAGCCCGATTTATTGATATGCCTGGTGGAGAAGTAATTATTTTTGCTTTCCACATTAACAGTCTTTGAAAGAATGCACAAATATTGACCTGAATGGTCAGAAAGTCCCGGCTCAATAACACCAGAAGAGCAACACTCATCAGGCAAGTCAGTAAATATATTGTCAATTGTAGTAGCGGAACATTTTGTGATCCTTGTATAATCTAGGATTTTAGCGTTAAGTCCAAACGACCTCGTAAGATTAACTAAGGCTTGTATGTCTGTGGAGTTAGTTTGGAAGTCTTTACTGAAGTCACCAATGAGAACAAGTTTAGTGTTATTTTTGAAAATCTTATTTAAGACATTTTCTAAATTTTTCATAAAATTATGAAAATTACCTGAAGTGCTAGGTCTATATAGTGCCATAACGATAGTATTCAATTCGGGGATTTCAATGCCACAGAACTCGGCATGCATTTCAATAGATTCCTCATCCAGACTGATAGGTCTGCAAATCAAGGAATTATGAGCAAATATAATAATAATAATAATAATATATTTAATAAAACATACATAAAATAATACATATGTTATATACGTCAATAAAAAGAATATATATGAAGACAATACATACATTAATTTACACACATCACACATAGTAGTCAGCCAAAGAATAGCAGTTCTTGTCTAAGAGAAACTGTTTCACCTTTTTTTTAAAGATTGTTATACTTGTTGTGTCTTTGACCGACATTGGTAAACAGTTAAAAACTTTACAACCCGAAAACAATAAACTTTTTTGATAACGCGAGGTACGATGTCTATTTGGCAGCAATAAGTCTTTATTGCGCGTTTCATATTGATGTCCCTGACCACAAGTTGCAAAATGACTTCTATTTTTGAAAGCATAGCATAATACTTGATACAGATATAAGCTAACAAGTGTTAAGATTTTTTCTTTCTTAAAAAAAGGACGACAAGAATCTCTTCTTCTTATGCCTACTAGAAGCCCATTTCTGTATTCTAAATACACGTATTGTTTCAGTTGCGGTAGATCTATACCAATGTACCACCCCATACATTAACAAACTTTGGAAACATCCGAAGTATAATGACTTTAATATGTCTTTATTGCAATGGAGGGATGCATTTTTGAGCATAAAACAAACCTGAGAGAGTTTATTGCATACGTAATCTATATGAGATATCCAGGATAGTTTATGATCTAGAAATATACCAAGCATCTTTGTGTGCTGTCTAATAGTTAGATTTACATTAATTGTTTTTAATACATCCTGAATGTCTTTCACAAGAAAAGTATGTTCGTCAAAAAGCACACAAGTGGTTTTATCTTTGTTGATGATTAATTTGTTTTTATTAGACCACACAGAAATTCTTTCGTATAAAGTCCGTACAACATTGAAAATGCTAATAGGATCTTTTCCTGTAATTAGAAAATTTGCATCATCAGCAAAGTATACTTGTAATATATAGATATAGAAACACCTCCATGACTTCTTTGTTTCCTGCAGAAAGAAGATATTAATTTATATTTGTTATTAAAATTTATCATTGACAGTGAGTCCTTATTTAATATCCAGTGTTCTGTGATACATACTATTTTAAAATTATATTTGACTAGAAGAGCACTTAACTCATCGATTTTGTTATTTAAACACTGTATATTAATATGGAAGATTGAACAAAAACCTTCATTGATAAATCGTGTCAAATTACTAATTGAATTCCTGTGATGAGATTCAGAACTGGTGGTCGTTAACAGGTTTTCTTCGGCGAAAAAAATTGTGCCTTCTTACTACAATCCCAGATGGCCAAAAGTCGGGGGAATATAAAGTATCATGTAGCTCAAAGTCCGCTCCTACCTTAAAACTCTTATTTGAATTTGGAGAAGTGGATGATATGTCCTCAATAATAAAGTTCCTATGCTCACATTTACTCGATAGGTAGTTCTGAATTTTATCAACCGTTACGTCAGATCGTACTCTACTAACGTGTAGCCAGATTCGCCGCTTTGCTGCAGCAAGATTCTCGTTATCAGACGTCCCATTGCCCATTACGGCGTGTTTATGTTTTAACACATTTTGTTTCGATTTATCGATCATAGTGCTTTTTTGTGGCTTTAAAACATTTATCTTGCGATTAGATTCCAACTTTTTCATGTCTTTATCAGTAATTTTGCTGTCGGTATTATTTCCCTCAACATTTACTGAATGGAAATTTTGGTCAAGGATAACAGATACCTGACTTTCTTCGCTTACATCACTTGATAGACGTTCCAATAACGCCTGATTGGTCTTTTTTAATTCATCAAGTTGAGTTTTCAGGATAAAAACTTCCTGCATCAGTTGCTCAGTCTTGGTGTTTACTACATCAGTTATGAGTTGCTGTAGACTAGTTACCGTAAGGGAACTAATCAAATTATCCTGAGAACGAGTGTTTTTCGTCATCTTTCTAATTACACTGCTTTTAATACTTGAATTAACGATTTAGATTATTAAGCACCGTACACGAATTACACTGATGACGTCATCAATATTTTAGAGGACACGAATATCAGTTTGAATAGGTACAGTTAATGCTGTTCATAATAGTACTGTATCTTCAAACTTTCGGGAAAATGAGATGAGGAATGTCTCATTCATTAATTTTTTGAGTTACTTTGCATAAGCAATTCTAAAAAATATGAATCCGGCATTAGTGTTGTTTAGGATGAGATAAACGGACAAATTTTGATTAACGGTTTGCTATGCCTACAATAACCGTAAAAGGTTTGCAATATTTCAGAGCACGACAGATGGACAGATACAAACGAGAGACCTGTTTTCGGACTCTAGGGGTCATGAAGCGTCGAAAAAACATAGAATTAACCAGTCGCCCGATGGACTTGTTTAAAATACTTCTTTAGATTACGCAAAACTTCTTTAGATTACGCAAATTACTTCTTTCATACTCCCACAAAATACGTTCAGAACTTAACAATAGCTTAAATGTAATTACTAATGAAACAAAAATGTTTATTAATATTTACTATTCTAGGTGTATTTTGTGTAAAAACTACCAAATATTAATAAAGGTGACCTGACTGGAACTTGATAAAAATAAAATTTGATTGTAACCCTCACGTAGGAGTAAAACTTTTTAAAAATAGCATTATTAGTTAACACTTATTTTAAAAAATATTCTAACAAATCACAAGTGGCGCAAACTTTCGATACCAGGGATAACCTCAACACAACGTAGTTAAAACTTCTAACAGATTAAACCGATGCGTGATACACTTTTAAAATGAAAAATGGCAGAAACTTCTAAATGTCATCAAAAACAAATTCAAAGTTTCTAGCTTTTGCGGTCGTGATAAACTATAGGATAATATTCAGAAATAAAAAACATTTTCCGCTTGATATATTTTTCGTGATAGTTTTCATGTGACACTTTAACGAAGAACTATATTCAGATTTAGGTCTGACGTGTTTCGCAGAAACTTAACCAAGGACAATTTTAAATTTGTTGAGACAGGTTGCCGAATAACAGGAAACTTTAATACATTTTTTTTATGTTTTACCACCGTTATTATACTTCTGAATATAATATTCTTTGTCCTGGAAATGTTTGACTCTAAGAACAACTTCTTACAGATTGATAAAAAAATTAACCGCGAAAATAAAAGAAGCATATTATTAATATTAAAAATTTCACTAAACATATGCAGTCATATATGATCTAGCTTTTAATTTGATTGCCTTTGTACTTAATATTTTTTAATGAAACACCAGTGAAAATTACAGTTTTAAAATTTTATGTTATTATATTGATTTTTAATTTTTAGTATGCTTTTTGATTCGAGCTTAATTGAATGGATTTTTGGCCATTTCTATAGGATTTTTAAATCATGCAAGAACCAGACCAAGAATGTACAAATTTCGTTATAGATTAGTGTACACAAAGAAAGTTCAAATTGTTAAAAATAAAAAAAATACGTATTTAAATTTCATAACAAATATTCATTATGCTCGTGATTTAGTACATAGTTATACTCCTAACATGATGTTAATCAAAATGCGAATGTCGTGGTGAAAATAAAAATCACTATACAATCGTTTGCATTTAAGTTAAACGTAAATATGTCGAGTTTTCGACTTTAAAACATTATTATAAATTTACTAACAAATATCGACACCTCAACAGTATTATTCTTAAATTTCATCGAAAATATAAAAAATTCAAGCCTTGTATTTAAATAATTTAAAATCAAATTAATTGAAAAATTATACGCTTGATTGCACATACATTATCAATGAAATTTAATATACGTCATTAATGGAATTTCCTCGTTTTTTAAATAAGTTACGACTTCTTTTATCTTCCCGATTTAGAAACAATACTAAAACCAACAGAAATTTCATCATACACTCCAACGAATCTAAATACATAAAAAATCTCTCAATGTAATATTTTATGTACCTACAGTTAACATTTTTAGTTATTAATATATGGTAAACCGATACTCTATTTACTAACATGCTCCGGGCTTGGCCAGACAAGGTTACTGGGCGGTTATAAAATGCAAACTTGCCATTGCATTTCTTGTCAGTCCACACACTATCACAAATCCGTCAAAAATGAATTCCAAGGTATGTACGAGTACGTAACTAATTAATTACAGTCATTATTAAAGAAACACACAATTATTATAGATTTGCATACTCCTATTATCCTTCTTCGTCCTTGCCAAAGCGGGACTCGTCGCAGTGCCGTCTGTGGAAGTCCTTCAAGGACCCAGCAGCAAGACCACGCTCGTGGGTCCCGACGGTAGCTCGATTTCGTCGGTATCTCCAGGAGGCACCGTAGTCACGGACGGCCAAGCCGTAGTACCTGCAGCTCCTGTCGTCCTGGCTGCCTCTCCTAACACCGTCGTTGCGGGTCCTGCAGGTTCCGTTATTACTAGTCACACCCTCGCTGGTCCTGCTGTTGTTCCTGTTGCCGCACCTGCGGTCGTCGCCGCCGCTCCACTTGCTGTAGGTCCTGCTGTAGCTCTCGTAGGAGAAGGACACGAAGGAGAGTATATTCCAGATAACACCGAGCAACTTTACGACGATGGATCGTACAAAGGAGAATAAATAATTCACGACTTTATCACTCTCTGGTTTATTAGTGTTGTTAATAATGTATGAATACTTTATGCAGGTTAGACTCAGATTTGTTGTAAGGGAGTAACATTTAACCAGCTTTTTTATAAGACTTATTTTGTAATGCATGTGCCAATAAATTTATTGTTGTATTTTATGAATGTGTGAGTTTGTCTCGTTTATATCGACAGAAAACAAGGAAAAAGGTCACTCCAGCCTCCTATTTACCTACAATCAATCAATTTCCCACATGAATATGTAGATTGCCTTTCAGGGAATTATAGTTATGAAGTTACACGAAAATGACATGTATCTAATAGATGTTGTTGAATGGCGCACTTTATGAAATTCTCTACGTAGCAAAATTTATGTAACTATACATACAGGGGATTTATACGCCTATATTATATACATAATTTACATAAATAAGTCTAATTTGCAACATTTTAAACTTAAAAATAGAACTCATTGCATAACCCAGGTCCCAGCTTTCCTCGAAATGAGAACAACTTTTTTTAAGCAACGTGTTATTTTCTAAATGCCACAATATCAACAAGATTAAATGATAAAATTTTCGAATAAACAGTGTAGAAGGGGTAATCTTTCCAAACATTTTTCAAAATTGTCGAAGTTATTTTGACTTTCAATAAAGTCAGAAGTCGTATGTCCACTTGATGACGTCGCAGAAATTTTGATTCGTTTACATCAATTAATCCCACTTATAAAATTTATTAGATTGGGTTAATTTCTGAAAGAGATAATATTTTATTTTTTGTTACAGAAAAGGCCAATATTTATGTTGAAACACCCTGTATTTATTAATATATCTGACGGTATGCCAGTTTGTAGTAAATTGCAAGTTTGCAAACCCCGTGTTTTAAAATATCAAAGAGAAAAATGCTTGAGGGTTGTAAAAAATCCGCAAGTGCCACCGGTATGTATTTCCCCTTTTTATTTCCTTTTTATTCCACTTCACCCATACGCATCTTAATCTCATTCTCTGACATTTTAAATCATTCGTCTTTATTTTCAGCCAGGCAAATCTAGAAAAATGTATATAAAATGTCACCGTCATAACAGCCATTATTTCATGCATTGTCTGCTGTAGGCGGTCTTATTTCTGAGCGCAAAGTAGGTAACATTTGCCCAGTGGTGCGTGTCGGGGTGTGGGTTCTGAAACAAAGGCACATGTCCATTAAATTGTTTTAATTCGGTTGAAAAGGGTGAGGAAAAATTGCGGTTTTGTGGTAGCCCATGAACTTGTCCGTTGAGTGTCGGTCGAAAGAGTGAAAGTTCCGGTATGTGGACTCTCGTTTTCAAGAGCAAGGTCCCGTTGATTCCGTCATTGGCGTGGTCTTTTTGCCGTGGGCCTGTTATAATGTGGAGCAGAACCAGTTGGTGGCGACCTTGCTGCTGTTTCCTTTACGCTAAGTCACGTTGCTTAAGATCGAGTTCCTTTATATAGGAATGTTGAAAATTTGTTGATTTTTTTTATTATTTTAATAGCAAATGTTAAAGTGTGCCGTAGAACAAGCCACAGACAAAGCTTGTTTTTCTTTCGAATGGAATCGTGCTGCTTGCATATTTAAAATGTTTTAAATTGTTGAGGTGATATATTATACTATTACTAGACTTTTATGGACAAATTCACATTTTTGTTTGATTATTATTATTTATACACTAACTTTATTCACATCTTCAATTAGCTTTTTCTTCGTTTACTGTTTTTTCAACCACGAAAAAGAGAGTAAAAAAGGTTGTATATTTTCCTCACAAGAGTGGTTGAGGGAAAGGAAAAATACGTATTATAATATTTAAATAAAAAAATCCTAAAGAGTTACTGTTACTGTTACTATTAATAGCCCAAAATCAGAAATTGCGTCATTCAATCTACACTGTCTGCAAAAACAGATCATTATTCGTGCCAAGGTAAAGATGTAGAGCTCAGAAAACAAATTTAAAAGTTTGTTACAAAAATATCTACAATTTGCCATGTTCTAACTCTACATATGATATACTAATATGCACTATGCTGCCTTTGCAAATGACGTCCTATATTTTGAGCAGACTATTGGCTACAAATTTGAACAAATTTCAGAAGTAATAATTATTACTTTCGGTTGTTAAACACGAAACCTTTGACATTTCAAAGTTGAACTGTTATTTTTAAACATTTTGCATTTGTCAAAGTAGTGGTGTAGCTTTCAGCGACAACAATTATGTCAATAATATAGTGAGAGCGTTCGACTGAACACAAAGTGAACACCAAGAGTGATTTTGATTGTGGCACAGACACAATTATAATAGACTGCGACACTTTCTATATTTGTAGTTATTGTGCTACTGCAGTCTAGATGGCTCCATATATATACTGCCATGTTTTTGAACAACGGTGAGTTTTTTTAAATTTAAATCAAAATTGTGTTTATACATCTAACCTTATCACAGTCAAAATGTTTACGTTCAGGGGTTTTTGTGTATTTATTCCCTTTATACATTTGATAATATCCAAAGAATTGTTAAATAAATATTTATTAAAAATGATACCTCAAGATGTATTGTTGTATTTGCATTTTGATAAAAAATTTTTAGCTTTGGATTGATTTAAAAGGGTATCTAAAGAGTTAAAATAAACGGCTTTTATAATTTGTTGAAAATTCTATGAATGCTATTGTTATCAGTGTTGCATTGTATAGGTATATCAACACATGCATATTTCTGCCCATAGAAAATCATGACTTCATCACAAAATTTTATCAATAAAATTTCACTTTAAACATCTTTAATTCGTTTTAACTTTATTTATCTTAGAAAGTATGTAACGAACTCTTTTGAAACCTTGGTGACTCACTTCACCATGCGAATCAACTTATAATAAATCCTTTTACTTTATGTACAAGTAAAGCAAAAGTATGGAACCGGTTAAATAAGTATATCGAAAACAATTTGTGTAAAATTTTGAACAGACTTTGATAACACTATGCAACACTAAAAAATTCACAGAAAGTTCAGATAGTGCTTGAGGTTGGGTATACTCCATATACTAAAGAAAAAAATGTTTTATACTCATATCACATCACAAAACATAGATAACGGGTGTTTTGTTTTCCTTACTTTTTGAGACACTCGATTGCAGTTAATCGTAAAAATATCGCTTTTATGTATCCACCCATGCTTGCAGACTTCTGTTGGCGTCTTCAGAGGGATACTGCGAGATCTGGCTACAATAGGAATGCCAATCGTTCGAAAAAAAAGACGTTTTTCAATGAAAAATGAAGTATTGTTTTATTAATTTTGTATGATTTCAAAAAATTCAATAAATACTTTTCATTGTGATACCTGATGTGATAGGTTGGGTACCTATACTCCATATACTAAAGAAAAAAATGTTTTATACTCATATCACATCACAAAACATAGATAACGGGTGTTTTGTTTTTCTTACTTTTTGGGACACTTGATTGCATTTAATCGTAAAAATATCGCTTTTGTGTATCCACCCATGCATGTAGACTTCTGTTGGTGTCTTCAGAGGGATACTGCGAGATCTGGCTACAATAAGAATGCCAATCGTTCGAGAAAAAAGACCTTTTTCAATGAAAAATGAAGTTTTGTTTTACTAATTTTGTATGATTTCAAAAAATTCAATAAACACTTTTCACTTTGAAACCTGATGTGATACGACTCTTTCAAGCACAATCCTCAATTGAGTTTGCGGTAAGAAATTTTAACTACATACTGTGCATTCTGTGAATTTTATTTTTTTTTAATTTGTTGCATAGTGTAATTTAACTCCAATGATTTGTGATTTTTTCATTTTTCTATTGGCTCAAACGTCCACCATGTACTTCGTAGCAGAAATGAAGGGGGTCGAATCAATAAATTTGTTCTAGTATTATAGAAATGAAAATTATTATAAATTTCACCTAAAAGTTGAAAAACTGATCTTGATCTTTATGAAAGAAATGCGCCGTGACATGCACCGTATATTAGTCACGGTTCAAAGAGCGTCGAAACTGCAATTTACTCTTTGACGATTTTTCTTACAATTTCGTAGCTGTACCACGTAAATCTCTAGCTAGATTTTCATCCACTGACTATTCTTTTTTGTTCCAGTCGTGTCCTGAATCCCACGAATTCCGTGAAGACCAGTGCGCAGCATTCAGCAGTAGTCCTTATCAGGGCAGTCTTTATGAGTGGTCAGCCCATTACGACGACTCAGATCCTTGTGCCCTCACCTGCAAAGGAAAGCCGATTACCGGAGATGCAAGCAGCGATGAAGATCCCGTACTTGTTGTGGCAAAGCTTGCGGACAAGGTCCACGACGGGACCAGATGTAGACCAGGAAGTCTGGATATGTGCATTGACGGAAAATGTCAGGTAAACTCCTAAACCAACTAAACGAGGGTTCGATTAGTTTCACTTTTGGAGTTAGTTATGCATGGCTGAGCTCACGTCTGTCGCATTCTCGTGTTGCCACAATTTGTCAATAAAACGTTTATTTAGCCCATAAAACCTTAAGGGAGTTGATGGAGCGGTTGAGATTTTTAAGACGTAACTTGCTGGTCTCCAGTTTTAGTTGTTTTTGCTATGTTTACAACGTCATCAGATTTTGAAAGGGGTAAAGAGTTAACAAATTCTGATTAATGTGACAGCGACATACGTCCAGCGGTGCACAGCCAATTGCAAACGTGAAACCGATTGAACATCCGTTATAAGGTTCCGTTGAGTGACAGTGACCGACACTACTCGCGACGTCGATATTATCATGTGTATAAATAGAAATTCCTGTGCTCTATAATAATATATCATGCTACACACATCATGTTGTAGCCTAAAATGGATGATGTGTCGCTTGCAGGCATTCAGCAAAATAAATTGATACGTGTTGCTAGTTCCTCATGTTTTGTCTAAAATGATTCGGAAATTGATTAATGTTACACAATAAAGTATCGGATAGAAAAATTCATATCAGTGACACTCGATACCGGCATTATACATACATCAGTTCCGTCGCTGCTTTATTAAGACCTCAACAGGCGATTTTATTCTTCTTATTTCGAGGAAGCTTTAAGGTGACTCCAGATTTACATAATCGTATTAATGTCAGAAATTTCTAATTTAGACATAGAAAAATTTCCGTGAAAGTCATAAGTGCCATTAACACGCAAGAAAATGGATGACCAGGAATATTAATTACCACAAAGCACGCTATATCAGATGTTCGTAATTGGGAATAAGGAGAATTTCTGTATGGAAATTAAGATCTATGGAGACACTGCAAGGATTTATGTTATCAGATTGTGATGAAAGATATAGATTGATTACCATCTTGTGCACCACCAATTCTCCTGCGGGTTTTTTTTTTGTCGATTTTTATTTCTCTCTTGCTGGGAAAAACGAAAATAACGGACTGTCCTTTTTAAAAGATAAATTACGAAATTTATATTAATTAACACAATTTGTAAACAACACGAATACAAGACATGTATGTCTAAAATTGCAATTAAATCTTTACGACAATTTGCTAAGTCCAGGCTGTCATTATCACACTTTACCATTCCTTTGTAAATGACTTCATAATTTTTTCCATTATTAAATAGTTACTTCTGACGAATTTGCACGCGAAGTAAATCAAGGATAGACGATAATATGGCGTATTTAAATAAAAACTTCGGTTTACAAATTCACAATTCAGAATAATGATGTAAATAATTATAGAACAAAGTTAAATACTACTGCCGTTTATTTTGCATTTATCATGGTTGCTTGTATTTTTAAACTGTACATGCTGCAAAGGACGTTGCAACGAGAACGGAATTTACGACGCTCGCCGAAGTCTGTCGCCCTTCCTCGGTGCCCAAAAAACCTGCCACATATTGTACCGTTTACCCCTCCGTCGCAAAAAGTCAGCTATTATCTAACTGTCTACAATTTAACATTTATTGGGGCAAAATAATACGAGAGAAAAACCGTAGCTTTAACTAGAAACCATGTCTTTCGCATTCGCCACGAACTTTTATTTTAATTAAAATTCAAATCCTATATTTTTTGAACTTTTAACGATAGCTAAATAAATATTAAAATTACAACAAATAAAGCAAGCAGCATTTAATTACGCCACACTCTATCAAGAATCTTAAGAACTTACAGGATGTTAAATTTTGCATGCATTCAACAGTGAGAAATTACGAAGTATGGATAATGTAACAACTTGAATAAAAACATCCAGAACTTTTCCATACATCGTTAATTTAAAATAAGTTGAGACTTTTTTAGATTAGAAAAGCATGAATTAACTGGTCGTACACTAATTGGGACTGCAACGTCGAATGCGATTCATTATTATTTAAAGAATTACCTTTTTATAAAATTACAAATTAAATTTAACCTATCCTTATTATTAACACATGTTTACACTAGCATAAAAGCAAAACGAGTGGCGTCGAAACTTCTACACATGGTTGCCTACGTTACTGAATGATTTTTCTTTTTTTTAATTTTGCAAATGTGGACACCACAATGCATTTCTTACAACTTACTTTATCGATAATCAGAAAACTTCCTTACAAACTACAGTCCAGTTATTTTCAAATATACTAAAAATTAGAAAAATTCTGTGCTCAGCTTCATTATAACGATAAGTGCAAATAATTTTGATACCAAGAATGAGTGTAGATCCTAACAGTTCAAAAGATAAAGTACGGCAGAAAAATCCTACAAGCGAGAATTATATTTCGAAACCAGAAACTACTAAATATTGTATAACGGCCGGCGGGTCGTTTAAGTGCCGCTTGACTTTTATTGTGCTGCGATTAAGGTGAAACCGCCAATTTTGTTGATGCTTTCTGACACTCAAATCTGCCACTGCCGTTAAGAAGAAATCTAACGATTTGTAGTTACTATAGGTTTTTACATGGGTTAATATTGCCTTATTTTTGCGAGTTCTAATTTAAAAAATCTAGTCAATCCTGTTTTCAATTTTTAATCGTTAAATTATTACGGTTATATCTTATTCTAACAAAATCTAAAATAAAATAAAAACGGATTAACCTTTTTTATCAGTTTTCATGTCTTCCGTATACTGGATTTGAGAAGAATTTAATGCAAATCCGAAGCGAATTTTTATATTACAGCTTCGTAATTCCGACAATGGAGGGTAAACAAACGTGCGGAAACTCCGCCACACTTCCGCTAACAAGCTACCTTAATTTATAGAGTAGTCAGCACTGCATCACTGGAGTTTCTGCGGAAATATTTTTTACTTTTTCATTGAACAATGCCATTTGTATCGAAGCAGCTATAACGAGCCAACACAAATTGATACTCCTCGCAGCACATTATTTTTCGCCCTACTAAACTTTGACCTCCAAGCTAGGATCAGATGAATTTTTTACAACTTCATTTACAACCCCATTGTAAATTTCATTTAGGTATCTCTGCACTAAATTAAAATTACAGTCCGTTTGGCCACAATCTCGTTTCACCTAAATCTTGAAACAAAGAAAATGATAAAAAGAACAGCCGGTTTATCCGGTTTTATTTGTCAACATTTAATTTCATTCAGATTTGGGGATTTCGTTCTGGCGGTGGTTTTTCGTAATGGGGTAGATAGGTGGGCGCTCATCTAGCGGGATTTATGTTCTCGACTAGAGGCTTCTGTCGAGATTGACGCGACCTCGCCTTGAAAAATGTTCTGATAAATGTGTAACTGCACAAATATTCCGAAAATCTGTCAGGAGAGAGAGCAGATATCAAACCGTCTACTCTACCAACTCATTTGAGAGAAAGATTACTTCTTTATCCTTCTGCACTCTAAACATCAAGTTTTGTTACCTCTTCAAGCACCAACAGCGGCGATAAACTTCGCCGGATCAAATCCGTGGATAAACGAAATTCCACTTTGCACCTAATTTCCACAGGAACATGTCGTGTAATCTCCAGACGACGATTTTCGTTAAAAATTAAAAAACAAACGCGAGGGGTATATTTTTCAGTGACGCTCCATGTGTTATGTAATTTATTTGAATGCGTTTTTAGAGCACATTGTGAAGCCGTATTTGTTTAAATTCTACTTTTATAATTCAAAAACACCGAATTTGTTATAAAGATGGGTATGTAACACGTATATTTTTTGACAGACATATTATTAATAAAAAACAAATAACAGAAACCAGCCATAAAATATGTAAATAAACGTCCACTGAGAGGCAAAAACTGATAGAACTGCTTTTCAATTATAGGTCAACATTAATTGATGGTTAATTATTAAGGGAATTGATTGTTAGGTAACCATCGATTTTTAATTTACCTACTATTGAACAAACTTAGTGGGTCAGTCACTGTACATAGTGTACCTGCTACTATTTATAAAACGTGATAAACGATAGTGCAACACACAAAGTGGCACATTCACTCATAAATGGTCACTCTAGACAGGCAAAAAAATAATCGTAATGCAAGTGCTACAAAAAAGAAGAAAACATTACACTCCGTGAAAAGTTTAACTGTAGTTTGTTTGTCACCTCAGCATCAGCACTTACGAACTTTACGTTGCAATTGCCGCAACCATTAATACACAAAGGGACCCAAAATGATTCAAAAATAATGTACAACGTGTTGCAAATAACTGAATTAAAAAACTTAACATTACGTAGACGCAGGAATATTAGTTGTTTATTTTATCAATTAACCACTTATTCATCTTTAAGTATCAAAAGTCTATTACGTAAATGTTAAAACTGCTCTTAACAAATTATTGACTTACGGGATTTGCCTCAGCGCCAGTACGTCTTTTCTACTGTTTAATTAATACTGTACAAAATCTGTCGAGTGCTTTCATTTCTCCATTAATTAAATGGTAGTAATTTTTAACTTGAATTAATTCAATTATGAGTCGAAATTTTGTATCGCCGTTGGCTTTCATCTTCCGTGTTCCCCCAATTAATTTATATCTTTATGAATTTCCGATTCCTGGTCTGCAAATACGATTCGAAAGTCAAGAATAGAGTATTAATATGGAAAGAGGCTGGTGAAGTGACACAAGCGCCATACACTCTAGATCTCTCATTTATTCATCGCTTTGGGGTCTCGAGAGGCACCCCCGAACCCCTCGACAGACTTTTCTGTAAAGCACGTGCGAATTGAGAGCCAGGAATGGAGATGGAACCTAATAGATAAGGCGCGAATTTGCCACAATCGCTTTACATAAGTAAATAAAACAGAGAATGCACAAGGAAGCTGACGTGCTTTGGGTCTCGGCTGAGGTGTTTGATTTCTGGTATTTTTTTACAGAGGGTTGGATGCGACTTGAAGATCGGCTCTTCGCGGCAGGTGGACGCATGTGGGGTTTGTGGAGGCGATGGTTCCTCGTGTTCAAGGCCTTTGTATCACTGGACGTTGACGTACATGTCCTTGTGTTCTGCGACATGTGGCGGTGGTAAGTAGTAGATGAAGAAACGAATATAAAATGATTTTCATAAATTTGCCCGGCGCCTCCACCATTTTTCACATTCTGCTTTAATATTAATTAGAAAACATTTGTATTATTACAACAGTTAATTTATTATTTTATAAAATATCGAGTTAAACTAACTGAATTATTAAGCAAAAATAGTAAAAACTAATGCTGTACATGTTTTGAAAATTTCTACAAACATTGTGATGATGAAAAGTAGAAAAAAACACTACTTAGTAAAGATATATGGGGACATCAATTTTTTACAATTTTCTTGACGTTATTTTGATTGCATCTGTCTTTTAAATTCAGTTGGCAATTTTTTTATTTCTTCACAAACAGTGAAATTAAATTTTGCTGTCCATCAAGAATTGTCAATAAATATCATTGCTGCCACTATAAATTTTTTAAATCCCTAATGATTTTTGAACAGGGACGGCAATGTGATCACACAAAACCTTGATATACAAACTTTACAAAATGCTTTTTATTGTTCGTAATTTATATGCATAGTGTTTACAATTTTTAGATTCCCAATTTCTGGAATTAATTTCCTTTGAAAGAACCTAAACATTTCAAATAATAATTTCTAAGCAAGAATGTAATTAACATCATGAGCAAAGGACTGGGGACAGAAAACCTGTTCCTTAATTTTTTCCTGAAAACTCGATATTTTTAATCTCCTTCTTAAACAATGTTTTGAGGGATCATATTAAAACTGATAAAATTACAATAAAATATTCATTTTTAATTTACCGGCTTTGAACTCTTTCTTAGCAGGCCTAAATTCGAACGTTCATGATGAACTAAGTGCTTATCCAGATCCCACCAACTCATTGCAGTTTTAACTGACTTCAGTTGGGCAAATAACAGCCGAGAAAGACCGAAATATAAACCACTTAATCCAAGTTATTTTCAATAGTGTTGGTACTCTTGTTGTCAATTTGACATTCTAGAATTAGGATGATATATCCTTAACATTTGTAAATGACTACGTGTTTGCAACCAAATCCGGCAAAACTGACGATGAATAAAAAATCTAATTTGAAATTTTTACTTACTTGGGCATCATTTAATTTATATAATAAATTTTCGCCAAAATTCTTTCAATTTGATGTTCACGAAAATATGGAAAAATACCATATTATTGTACCTGTACATAGCGCCATAAACCAGAAAAAAATGTGTGCGTTATCAAAAATGGGTTACATACTGTTTCAATATTACGCACTTATCCTCTGGAAAACTCTGTGCTTGTGACTGGAAGGCAAATTTATCTCCCATTCCGCATTTGATTCCAGGCTACAAAATGTCACGTCCCTTATGCCAGAACCGGGTGACGGGAGAAGAGGTCGAGGAGGAACTTTGTAACGAGTCACAAAAGCCCGATTCTACGATAGTGGAGTGCAACACCCATAACTGCCCTCCCAAGTAAGTACTAATCGCCGGTCTGATAGTCACAAACGTACTAATAAATTAAATTAATTTTACATGCACACTTCAGCAACGCCATTTACGTTGCAAAACTGGTTTCAAAACTAACTTTTCGCATAAGACTGCATAAGGTGCTTTATCAAATAAAAACAAACTGTCTAAAATAATGCTGCACCCATTAAGCGAGAATTAAGTAATGGCAATTTGCATATTTGTGTAATATTTGCTGTAAATTAACTGTACACCCCCAAAGAACGTGGCCCGACTAATTTAAGTCGGTTAACTTTGAAACTTTGCAGACATAAATATGGCATACTGTGATAATGTTGCTGCATTGAATTATAAATGAACCAGGAAATACATATTCCATAATAATTAGAATTAGAAGTTTGTCGTGTTTAGAGAATTGTCTAACAGAATGGTGCATGGAGTGCAGAATACTGTACACTACAAATGAAAGACTAATTTATTTCGGTTTTTTTTTTCAGTCACACACTATGCAAATTTCCTCTAGAGTTTCCATATTTGTTCATTATTCGAGCAACAAAAACAGCTGCATCTAACTGTTGCATAAGCTGTCAAAAGTGCACATTTCGAATGGATTATTCTCTAATTATGTACTTTGTGTACGTAAGCGCAGCATATGCTGGTAACTTTACACATTATCTGTGCAATATGTAGTTGCAATTTCATCATTTTGCGATACATAAAACACCAAAATTCCTTCCATTCTAAAGTAAATTTTTCGTGTCGCACTAGTGATCACAGTGACATGCAAATGTTAAATTGAGATTTTTGTCCACTGTTTAGCATGGTCTTTTTCTATGTTCTAATTGCAAAATTTTGTTTCATTATTTATATGATACGAGTATATTAGCACAAATAGTTTAATGAGTATTATTTGTGTTTCACAATATTGATTCTCATTCCTGATTTTGTTTTTTCATTTTCTTTGTAATCTTTATAGTTCAATAATTTCCCTTTATGTTATATCTCAATAGGTTTTTTAAGGTGGATATTATCAACAAATGTCACGGGCACTGAATCCACCATTAAAATTTTTAGAAAAATTAGCAGGGTGTTATAAAAATATGTAGTTAATGATTAAGTTTTTGTTGTAATTATCTTGTTTTTAGGTGGCATGCAGGAGAATGGGGACCTTGTTCGGTGACTTGCGGCGGAGGTTCAAGATTACGTCAAGTGCACTGTGTTGAAGAAGCAAATAATACTAAAATTAGGGTATGTACATAACACTGCATTTTACAGACTTAGTATTCACTGCATGTAAACCAGATGTAGAATTTCTTGTTTAAAATTACCATGTTTTCGCAACATTGTGACATAACAGAATAAAAAATAGAAATTGTGAACCTTAATTGCCACAATTTGTTCATAAAATATACAGGATGATAAAAAGATAACCCACAAACTCATCGGTACATTATTAAGTTCGCAAGTCGGAGTTCTAGAAAAACATAAACAAATTCCTTCCGCCAATTAGACGTTCATTTACAAAAACAAAATATTGATTTATAGATAGATAGATTCTTGTTATAAAATGAAGAAAACGATGGATAAAGACAAGATATCTCCAAAATTATTTTGAATAATGAAAATCTGATCGATTTCATATAGCCAACATAAACAAGTGCATTAAAATGTGGTGAATTATCAAAAAGAAAAAAAAACTTCGAAGAATATCTACTACACTTGAGCCCAAAGATTTTTTTTTTAATTATTTTTTTCGTTCCATAAATAGTTCTGAACCACGTGTCATTTGTTGAACGTCCTGTATAATGAAAAATTAAAAAAATCGGACGGGTCAGTTTTTTTATTCCGACTGCCAAACTTTAATTTTTGTAGTTGATATCGCCATATCTAATAACCTGCTCGATGTTATTTTTGTTTCCTCTGCTATAGCCAGAAAAAGTGCACAGTATGCTATCATATTTTTGAAGAAAATGTATTTTACTTCCCGAGCGTAAACAAAGGAAGCCCATCAAGTTCATCGGGCGAATGGCTACTTTCATGTTTTGTCAACGTTTCATGATCGCTAGAGTTTCTGTCTGTCGTCTCTGTCGATTTTTATTAGACAGATTATCTCCAAATCTGCTGGACGTCAGCTTCACATCACTTACACTATTTTCCAGAAAATTTGATAATATAGTACTGTTATTATTAGTTTTACACTGCACCTATTCAAATATGTGTCGCTGTTAAAATGTTGATAACATCATAACAAAATATTGTATGGAGTACTCACTTAAAACATTCACATAACATGCTTCTTTACCGATAGTTTAACAGTCCACACATAACTTTATTTTAACTTATAGAAGGTATCATAAAAAAATCTCACAATTAAATTCTATAATTTTTCGAAGAAGGTGCATTTGTTCGACTTTACTTCAGGGGCGAGCGAAGTTCTGTCTAAATAATCTTAGACCGTTTTTTGAAGCCCCGACGAAAACAGGGATGTTATAGTTTTGAAGTCTTCGTTTGTACAGTTTTTTTTATTTGAAAGTTGGTTTAATTGGAATGGTTCTTATCAATGTTTGATGATAATCACTTCAGCCATTTTAATATTTTCAGCTCATAAAACAGTTAGTGTAGGAATCAGCTCGATTTGCGCTAAGGTGGGGATAACGAGTCGACCGTTGCAGCGAATCTTAACCAATTTTAGATTTTTTAAATTTCGTCTTATCAGATTACCGTCGCGTCAATTTGAAAGTTTAAATCTAAAATGCAACTATCAAACACAAAACAAGATTGTTTCTCTTGTAAAAGAACAAAAAAAAAGTATTTTTAAACTAACTTAACGAACCACGAACTTTTTATAATAAAAAAATCGTCTTATGTTATTAGAGAGAACTTCCCTCGCCCCTGAAGTACAATTAGATAAATCCAGTTGTTTAGAAAAGACTACAGATAATACCAATCGCAGTGTAAGAAAGAAACGTTTACCGTTCTTGATTTGATGAATAAAAATTTGGAAACGTCACCGGTTACCGAACCGCAAATCTTTCATTTACAAAGCAAAACGCCCCTCCAGAGGTCTTTGCTACGTAGCTACGTATTATGTAACTGAAGAAAAAGAAGGTTTAAACACTAAAAATAATAATAATAATCAGAAACAAGGCGGAATCATAAAGCACATGTACAAGTGTATATTGTTTTATAAAATTGAAAAGGTGTTTACTAAACAAAGGTACGTCATTACAATGTAAGTGGAGTTGATCAGACAAATTTTGGTTAGCAGTCGGTAATTTCGGAGATTATCTGTTTAATAAAACTTGACACAAACGGCAGACAGACAGCTGAAACGGGAGATACATTATTTCGTACTCTAAGAACCATAAAACATCGAGAAAACATGAAAGTACCCATTTGTCGGATGAACCCTATTACAATACTTCCTTAGTTTACGCTTAAGAAAACAAAAGAGCAAAATATCATTGAACTAAAATGAAAAACGTACTTCTAATATTTGTGCATCTCAAATTAGCGTCATGTTCCCGTTTTCCACTTAGTGCAAGAAAGAAAATATGTTTATTTTAGTTCTGAAACTATTCATTTTTAAATTCGGCGCAATTGCAAACAAATCACGTTAAACCAAAAATTCAAATTCGTTGAAGCTAAAATTAAAAACTCGGTCCACAAAACGTAACATTACGCTTTAAAGGTTGTCCACAATGTTAATCGTCTTTATCAGACACAACAGTTTTAAATAAACACCTTGTAAATCTTACGCTGCTCACCTTCACTTGAAAACTGTGAACGACAGAAAACTGAGCTCTCGGTGTTTCAGTTTCTTATACTTTGTTATGAAAGTTTCAAATTTCGATTTAATACTCGTTTAAATGATCGATCACATTCTGTCTGCAGATTTATGTTATCACTACAAAAAAAGTTGAAATTGTATGTAAACAGAAAAACGTGGAATATTACTTTTTTACTTGAACAAATAACGTCTTGTTTTTCATTTATCCTCGTAGTATACCAAAAGTTTTACGAATGCCGACAGTATTTTGTGACTTTGATGTACGAGAAAAGCAGTTCGAAATTAAGCTGACAATTTACGTCACATCGGTTGACAGAAATTTGATGTCCCATGTAGAAGTACTTTAAAATGAGGTTCGAAGAAGTTTTTTTTCATTTATGTATATATCAAAATGTTCAAAAACTAACGTCTTAGAAACACACATTGCTTTTATTTACCCAACGATGCACTTACAATTTTATGATAACCCCTTTTCCAGCATCCACCCATAAAGCGGCTGCATCTAGTACACGATACTCCGTTCTTTTAGGTTTTAAAAGAAATTAATTGCGTCTCAATACTCTTTCCAACGGTGCAACTGGGAGTCATAAAACCGTTATTTGTCGAAATTACCCAAATGAAAATCACTGAAAACTTTCTTCGATTGAAAATTACGTGCTAGAATTACAACAATGGCTTTTTGGATCTGTTTATTTCGGTCTCTGTGGGATTCCACTCTAATCGGATAACGTTTCAGGTTAATGATCAGAAGTGCACCGGACACAAACCATGGTTTCAAGAAGCTTGTAATCGGATGGACTGTCCAGCATGGATAGCTTCATCCTGGTCGGGGGTAAGTCGGTCCACTCAGATAAAATAGAACTTCTTTACCTGACGACGCTTACGGTGAAACTAGAAAACAAAAGAGCAAGTGATATTCATAATTATGCGACTCTATTATGCTTGTGTTATATGCTTTTTACGTAATTGTGCTGTCTTTTGTGCCGCCAATTTTGCTATTTATCGTGGAAACCTTGCAGTGTTCAGTATCTTGCGGTGAAGGTACACAAGTGAGGGTGGTTGAATGTCGAGACTCCGCAGACAAGCCTAGTACATTATGCCCCCAGAAGCTTAAACCAATCGAGAGTAAACCGTGTTCTACGGGTATACAGTGCCCGCATCACATCGACACAAGCGAGGAATTCCTCCCCAGCTTATACCACACTCAACCCCTGGTTCAGCCGTATCCTCCGCCGCCACCGGCCCACGCTGAAAGACTCGTAGGGGAACAGGTTGTGCCTTCTGAAAGCACGTAAGTTCATGTGTTTTGCTGAATCATTTCCTTCATTAAGCTTTCAGTGTTAGTGCTTTTTGTCTGTTAATTCCTTCTGTGTGTTTAATTTATTATTTTCTAAATTAGTCTTGGATTTACTCACAATTAAATTACAAATAATACTGCAAACAAAAAGAAACAACAAAAACATCGTTTTATACGAAACCTTTCGTGAGTTGAAAATCATTCCGACTACGTTCCGTTGTAATTTAATGGTATCAAATATACATATAAAAGCATAATAAAGCACCATCGTTTGAGAAAGCCCAATTTAATTTTTACAGAGCCGTAAAACTTTACTGCAGCTACAGTAGCATATAAAATTTAAGTGCGATGATGAATGTATAAATTAAGAAATGTTTTATGCGAATATTTATCTCAATATCGAATTTAGTCATTTATTTTTGACTGGAGAATACTATGCGTTGTCAAAATTATTTTACACCAAATAAGACGGGTGGCTACATCATCGCCGTACCAAAATAGTTAATAGTCTGTTTTGTGTTTTTTAAGTCTGATTCCCCTTCAGTCATTTGATTTTTCCCTCTTGTGTTTTTCTGGATTTGGATATGCAATGGCCAATGATAGATTTGTTTAGTTTCACAAAGAGAAAATATTACTTACGGTGATTAGACCAAAAAAAAAACAAGAAATAGCTAAGGAAGAGCAGGCTTTTACAGTATGTTTTTCTGTCCAATTTGCAGATTAACATTGATTGTTTCCTTAGGCCTACTTTTCTGAAAACAACAATTTTCCATCATTTATAAAGAATAAAATTTATTGTTGGTCTCCATTTACCACGATTTATTCACTAAATGCATTATTGCATCATGGCATGTTCCTTCTATACCCTTTGATAACACAAAAAAAAAACATATTTTATATTTTACTATAATCATTCATCCAAGAAAATACAGCTGCTGAGAAAGTAAAATGTCTACTAATTTTCTAAAATTTCAGAGATTCACCTTAGGACAAAAAATTGTTAACACAAACCAGGACATTTCTGAAATTCGTCGTGGTAATTAGACTGAAAGATATCTGATAGAAAACTCTTTAAGCATGTTTAGAGTTCTGTTAAACAAGGGCTGAGATATGGAGTGTTGCTCGTTTGTTCATGTTCAAATAATTAAAAAAAAACAGGAATAAGATAATAACTAATATTGACGAAACAGCCAAATACTTAAGTGGTTAAAAAACAGACCACCCTTTTTTGGATATTCAAAACAAGAAATCAAAATTCATTACTTTATTAAAGAGAAAATTAGCACAAAGCCTTTTCCAAAAGAGACCAAAATGTATGAAAAAAACAGTTCTACAATGATGTGTAGTAGGTTGGTTATCTGACATACAATTTAAATTTTTTAAAAAATTACAAACGGTTACATATAGTACAGAATGTTTCATCAACAAACATTTTACTAATTTCACAGCTATTTAATAGTTAAATGAAAAAAAGCAAAAAGCAGACATTGTTTTTATTGCATTTGTTTTTATTTTTCGGATATATGTATGTAAAATATATTTAATATTATTCTCTTCATTACAAAATTATGAAGGATATTAATCTCGGATGCATCAGCACAACACATATTTTTTATTAAAACCACACTATAATTAAACACAAGTAAAAATAAACATTTGTCGGTGTATTGTTCCTCAAATTAAATTTATTTTACCACATCATTATGTATACTTTATAACAATAATTAACAGCAGTAATGTAATAAAGACCAATTTTGTTTTTTACCGTTTCAGATTTAGATAACGAAATAACATTATTAAATGACTTATTATAAATTCTCGCTAAAAAAGTGGCGAAATTAAAAAAAAAAGAAACAAGCAAATCTTAATTAAAAAATACGCCCGAACGGTTTGTGGTAAATTTTATGTTTCAGAGGCGTAGGAAGTTCTGCGTAAATGTATTTCTAGATTTTTTAATAAAACCATTTCGTATTATAATTATGTTACATTACGCAAAAAACATTTTCTAAACAGCAATTACATGTTAAACGTTCTTTGTCTGCTCTAGAAACAGTCTAAATTGTTTAAATACTTTAAATCTGCTCCATAAGAATTTAATTTGAGCTTAAAAATTTAAATCACTTTTAGGGTAAAGAAAAACTTGATTTTTGCATTCAAAAAGAATATGCTACAAAGAGTAAAATTAATCGCCAAACTAAATATGTAGTTGAATTTATAGTTTCTCTAATCACGGGTTTACAGTGTCGGATTGTGCCGCTGGAACACCGGGAAATTTCCTGATGGGCGCCGAAGCAGTCTACTTTTTTTTTTTATACAATTATTTACATTTTTCACATATTCAGGATGTTACATTTACAAACGCAATAAATGTTCCTAAAAATATAACAGACGCATAAAAACACTATTTGTTAATATTAAATAAGAGCGTCTTTTTACAGTGTAAACTCAGTACGAAACAATAGGTCTCCCGTTTCCGTCTGTCTGCCTGTCCGTCTACCTGTCCGTCTGCCTGTCCGTCTGCCTGTCCGTCTGCCTGTCCGTCTGTCTGTCTGTCTCTCTGTCTGTCTGTCTGTCGTCTATCCATATTTTTATTGGACCGATAATCTCCGACACTACTGGACCAATTGTTAAATTTTATATGTGGATTACGAATATCGTGTAGATTGTGAAACGCTAATAAAATTTGACTAATCATCCCTACCAACAATTTGTTGACGTCATCTCCAACATTTATAATAGTAAATATTACTTAAATTTTATAAAATAAGATACTCCTCCACATGTGGTTGATGAACCCCTGTTAAGTTTTTATCCTAGACATCCAGACTTTTGGAGAAAAAATCAAAGTTGCAACATCATGCAACTTAACTTTGAAAGTGCAAAACCGAATGCTCTAAAATTTTTTGTTTTAAATTTATTGTAACCGTGGTAAATCGTTAATCTTTTTTTTTTTTTTTTCGTTGATTACCCTCTAAAACAATAATGACTAAAGTTTTGCCGAATAAATGTTCTTTAATTTATGTTTACGAAAGACATATAATTTTTGGTAATTCCAAAAGCATTGTTTGTTATTTCAAATCCAATTCTCATCTGAATGACTCCGGTTTAAGGATTGGATTATCATCTATTTACGCTATTTTTTACCTGTTTTTTCATATATTTTAAGGTACTGCAAGCAGGCCAATTTTGACGTTGAAGTTTTTATTGCTTTTTTCGATAAAATAAAAAAAGCCCATTTTTCTCGTGAAGTTTTTTTAATTTTTTTTTTTTAACATTTCACCCCATGTGGATTTCTAAAGATTCTAACCATGGTTCCAGGGGTCCATATATCTAGAAACCGCTGACTTTTGAGATGTTCAAAAAAAAATAAACAAAACCTCTGCAACGTCACAATTGGCCTGTTTTCTTAAAAAAAATGATAAAGCACCCTATAATGAATTAAAAAACAAAGTGTGGGGTAAAACGAACCATTTTACTTACTACTAATTTGCCCCTTTCTTTGGTATTAGGTATATATATTTAATTTTATAGAATTGCACTCTCCTGCATGAATTCATATCGAGTTTTCACCCTAGACAACCAGATTTTGAGAAAAAAATCGAAATTGTATAAAAACATTTTACAATTTAAGTTTGAAAACTTGCAAGCTTTTTAAGGTTATCGTAAGCCATCGTTAATAAAAATGTTTTCGTCCATGGCCTCCTAAAAAATAATGACGCCATTTTATAATTATGCAGAAGAAATGTTTCTTAAATTTTATGGAACTACATATTTGCTCCATATATGTGTAATTTAGAATCCGTGTTGAGTTTTCCCCTTGACATAGAAATTTTTGGGAAAAAGTTCAAAATTGTATAGAATTCTACCGAACAAAGGTTCTTTAAATTTTATAAAATAGTATAGTCCTACATGTGTGATTTATGAATTCGTGTTGACTTTTTACCCTTTGCATCCAGATTTTTGGAAAAAAAATAACATTGTATAACAATATTTTTTAATTTAACTTTGGAATTGCAAAAACCGAATGTTGTGAAATCGTGAAGATATTTTAAGATTGTTTTGTGTCCTTTCCTCTGCGTTGAGGACACAAAATCAACCAGATTTCATTTTCTTTTAACCGCTAATGCTTGTAATCTGAACGTGCTAAAAGTCTAATTCGGTCGAAGTATAAACATAAGCAGTCGAAATTAAGCATATACTGAGAAATTGAGAATGTCTATATTTTTTCTCGTTAGTTATCTCCTTTAAATATATTTCATACTTAAAGACGTAGGAGTTGCGTGGACGTTAATTACGCCATTTTATAGAGGTTAACAGTTATCACAAAACAAAAATCGCAAAATTTAATTTTATAATTGTTTAACAAAGCGGAATTTGTTGGACTATACTTCAAGAGCGAGGGAAGTTCTGTCACAATAAGCTTTCACAATCTTTTTACTAGCTTTGTTTTTTCTTGGTAGCGTCATCAAAATTCCAAAAACAACATAATTTTTTCAAAATAATAATAGTAATAATACCCAAACAACATCTGTATACGATACCACAGGCCCCCACTTTGTAAATTTCCCGGTCGAGCCCCATGTCCTCAATCCGACACTGCAGTTTCATTAATACACAGATTTGAACGTAATAAAATATTCAAATTATTCTCACGTTATTTTAATGTCAACTGAAAACAGTTTATGTGGAGAATTAGAATGGCTGAGAATTCACTTTATTTATTGTATATTTACAGATGCGTTATCTCACTGACTGCTCTTTATAAATTTAGAACTAACTAATTACTTATACACTGCATCTGTTTGGCCATGTCAAATACACTAGAATTGTATACAATAGAATTGATTTATCCAGTTAAATATTCAGAATCCTCATGAATGTTCATGACCAAAGATATTGGCCACCAACATCTCTAAGCAAAGAACCACAAATCGCCATAAATTATTAACACTACATGTGATCTGGTGTGACATAAATTGGAATTTAGTGCGTGTGCAAATCACTGGTTAGATAGCATTTTACAGTAATTACAGACGCACCATATTTCGGTAGGTATATTTCGAGTGCTAGAATAGCGAACAGCGACCAAAAGATTTTATATTTGTAGGGAGATTCTGATGTAAATATTTCTCGCGATTCATCAAACTTGCAATTTATGGTTCGTTGTTTTATAAAAACTTTGATCATTTCAGCTAAACTGCGTTTAATGTATTAACATATGTATTACGCGATGTGTTAGAATCGGCAACCAAAAGTTATTTGATCGGTGTTCACTTTTTTAGAACTGGAAGTATATTTCTAAATATTTGTGTCGTTCGGCGAAAAGTGATTTATTTTCTTTGCAAGTCCTTCAATACATTTAATCTTGTAACAATTAATGACAAATCTGCAACAATAAACAGACGTGTCGTTGTTGTAAGTTTAACGCGGTGAAGACAATGTATTCAGCACTCGTCTCAGCCTGTTTAAGTGCTTAATATAACTCTAAACATTCCACTTCGTCACAGTCTCTTTTAAAGCAAGAAAATACAGGCGCTAAAACAGTTGTTGTTGTGTGTTTAAACTAAATTGAATTGTTAACATGCGTACACCAATTCATTTTATACACAATCTACCTACGCTTCCAATTACGTGTGCGTAGCACTATCCGTTGATGCTCATACAATGCAGATAACTCAGTATTCTACCACAAATTCAATTGTATTTGTGTGTACAGGTCCATTTCGATAGGTTATCTGGGTTGTACGTGCCACTCGATAGTTCCAATAGAGCTTCCATCACTCACTAATATTTCACTCATTTAGGCTAATTTAAATTCCACCTGTGCGTTTCACTACCCAACTACATGTCGATATTGTGTGCCTTGTGTTTTCAGCGATTTCAGAGTGTTCTTTGCCTGCGGTTGGGTATATGTGAGGTACTGCAAACACAAATAGTCTTTAATCCTTTATTTCTCTCTCTGTCTCTCTCTCTCTAAAACTATAAAGTGCACCCTTTTCGACTAATCGGCGTTTTGTTGGCCGTTTTCCCCCTGTGTCAAACTAAGAACGATAATCATTTCTGCGATTTCGCTAGGAAAACGGGTGGTAAAACGTCGGGACCTACACGAGTATAAATAGGTGATAAGCTTCTTAATAAAGCACCAGCTGTTGTCGAGCACAATCTCATTTTATCCATGATTTAAATGCTTCGTAAAAATGCTGTTTTCACTGCGCTCACACTTCATTACCATTCCCACACGTTCCCTTCAGTTTGCGCTCTCTCATTCCTCCAAGCTTCAATCAAGCGCCAGGCTATTATTCAAATCTTCCACACTTCTAATTTTTGCATGCCAAGTCAAGATTTAAATTTAATTTGAGCGTCACGCAACTTAAGGGCAGAAGCTAAATCTTGGCTGAAAAAATGAGCACATTAAAAAATTTTACTTTCAACGAAAATAAAGCTTGCTCTGTTCCACTCAAATGATGTATATCTAACAAGATTTGAGTGGATACACTTAAACTCATGAATTGGATTAAGGAAGATACCGACGAAGGGTAGAATGGAAAACGAAGCTCGTTAGTTTTTATTTGTTTGAAATCTCTCGATAAAAATCACAATTATCTCGCTAAAATCTTAATTTGCCTTCGAAAGAAGGAAAATAGTCGAATTGGTAATTTAATAAAAGTATTTTCCAATATTCACTATAAATACCCAATGACAAATTTTACTTCTTTCTAACGTACAGATTTACTTAATACGCCAATTACCATTAATCAAATCCAAACCCGATAATAATTTAAAATGTATTAGACTTCTATAAGAGAATATTTATTACCGACATCATTTCTGTTTTTACGATAAACGTATCACAACAAAAAAGGTTTTTTTTTTATAAAGAACAAATTGGAAAGTGTCTGCCTAGATTAACTGATTTTTATTGAACCTCATGATTAACAGTTGGTGAGATTCTAGCTTATTTTTTTCTGTAGTTGTGTTATCGGATTGACAACTACTACTACTACTTCTGAAATTGAAATTTTGAATTTTGAAAATTGAATAGTGAAGAAATAAACGTGCAAGCATGCAAATGAAGTAAAATTCGTCCAAATTCTCTAAGCTTATATGGCTGTTGTAGAATTAGGGTTTTGTGAAATCGATAATGGAATGCTTAATAATAATAAAGCAAACCTACAATTGTAAATCTTTTCAAATGTACTTACTACCATCCGTAATCCATTTCAGAGGTCGATTCAAGAGAATGTCTAATCCTATCCTAGAAAAATGATTCATGTTTTTTCTAGTAACTGAACGGACAAATTCTATTTGTATACAAATAAGCTATATAGCTGAATCTGGATCTGTGCTGATTTTGGGACAAATCTTTGATTTATGAGTGTAGGCTCATGATGGTGACCATGACCACAAAAGGGATTATTATTTCCCATTATTAGGTTTAGTGGAGCCATATAACCTTAGAGAATTTGAAAGACTATACTCTTTCATAAAAACAATGGACTTCATCGAAATGTACGTTCATTATATGCATATTTGGAATAAGTGGTTTCAGAAACGGTTTCCTCAGAGTTTACAACTTTGCGTGCGTGCGAACCCCAAGTTTTCAGACCATCGCCGATGCTTAAATCTTTTTGGAAACAACGATGACTCTTTAAGGTTGATAAATAATTTCAAATTTAGCCTGCATAAAGTTTAATGATTATTATTATTGTTAATAATATTAATATATTAACCAACATCGGCAATATATCATAAAATATGATCAACACAAACAGTGCAGTGACAGCGTGATGGGCTAATCTCCTAGATTCGTCTTGATTGATTTTACAATCTTTTCGTTTCGTGAAACGTCGTGTGCAGAAAATCACTATCCACCACATGCTGTGACCACTCCACTCCACATGTTTATTCTCCGCTTATTTGCAACTGTTTATAAATAGTAAATAACAAAATCAACAGTATTTGCTCATATCCAGACACTACTAAATATTCAACAGAATCTATCCCTTAATTATAAAACAGTGTTACCACAATTGGACTGCATTTGACGCTCTAATGAATTCCGCATGCATCACTTTAATTATGCAGGCCGACTTCTCAAACTTTTTTCTCACCACTGACGTATTTCCATCATCATTTTAACACATTAACACAGATTGTTTGTTGCCTCTGGGTGAATGGTACGTACTTAATTGTTTTCTCAGCATGTGCACTTGAAATAATGATAATTGTACAAAAGCGTTTGCTTCAAATTCATGTTTCCCCATTCACTAGCCATCTGTTACTTACAGGTTCGTGCCTGACGAGTGGGGACCCTGCAGTGTAACCTGCGGTGAAGGAGTGCGTAAACGTCAAGTTCACTGCAAAATTTTCTTAGAATTTTCAAGAACCATAGCCAAATTGCCTGATAAACAATGTAGTGGTCCGAAACCAATGGAAACAGAAAAGTGTTACATGGAACCGTGCTCAGCCGAACGTATAGGGTTAGATATTAAGGATGATCCTTATCGATCTGACATCAAAGTCGCAGGAGGCGCCCCAGGTAAATCGTACTCTTGGAAGGAACAAGGGTACACCCATTGCAGTGCTACTTGTTTAGGAGGCGTCCAAGAGCTGATCGTGAACTGTGTCAGAGACGACACGCAAAAGGTCACTTCACCGTTTCTTTGCCCTATGGAACTCAAACCGGAAATTTTAATGAGGACCTGCAACGACCATCCTTGCCCACCCAGATGGAACTACTCGGATTTTTCTCCGTGCTCGCAAAGTTGCGGCCTTGGAATCCAGACGAGAGAAGTGAACTGTATCCACGAAGTAACCCAAGGGGGTGGTAACACTGTCATAGTCCCAAATAACATGTGCCCGCAACCCCCACCACCAGATCGACAATACTGCAATGTCTTGGACTGCCCAGTTAGATGGAAAATGTCTGAATGGTCCAGATGCAACAAACCGTGTGGAGGAGGCGAAAAATCGAGAAAAGTGGAGTGTAAACAAGTAATGGCTCAAAACCACACAGTCGACAGATCTCCAGAACTGTGCCCGTCCCCCAAACCACAAGATCGGAAGCCCTGTAACACCAAGAGCTGTATAGTAGAAAGCGACAAACCCCAAATCGACATCTCCAACAGTTCCTTCATTCAGAACGACTTCAAGAAGAAGAAAATTACGTTAAAGGTTGGAGGTACAGCAACTGTGTTTGCTGGTACCACCATCAAAATTAAATGCCCCGTGAAGCGTTTCAACCGTACGAAAATCCAGTGGGTCAAAGACAAACAGTTCTTACCAAAGTCGAAAAAATTCAAAACTTCCAAAAAAGGAGCACTGAGAGTACAAAATTTGACTTTTAGAGACAGCGGCCGCTACACTTGCATTGCGGGTCGGTCCTCTGCCGGTATTCAACTGTCCGTACGGCCCAAACCCGGAGAATTCCTCACCTCGGAAGAGATTCAGAAACAGGGCAATAAACCCGATCGCGTCGATCTGATTTCGGATGTCTACGTTAACAGGGACGATACTAGTCCGATCTTTGGCAGCGATGACCATTCTCACGAACAAAGACCGGACGTTGTTAGAAAGAAACCCACACCTAGAACGAGATTATTCACCCCCACGTTACCCTCTCTGAGACTGGATACGAACAACATAAACATGTATTCATCGCAAAGTACAACACTTCATTCGGATAATGTACACGTAAGTTAAACTTTATTAGGGTTGTTTGTGTTGGTTTACGCTTATAATTACCTATTTTGTGCTGCGTAAAGGATAAAATGGTACCTTCGCGTTTGCCGGCGAGCTCTTCTGAATCGCTGAAACCCTATTATGGGAATTCGGCGAGTTCGGCGGGGCGAATCATGCCGCACTTTCAAAGACTTATATCTAATCTGCAGGTGAGGGCTAAGCGACGATAAATGTGAAGTTATGGTCTTAGAAGTAAGTTACTGTGGCGTCAGTCTTTTCAGAAGTATTATTTAAAGAATAAGAGACGAGCGTCAGCCAAAAATTGTGAAAGCAGAGTCAGCTTTATGTATCTGGCTACATTTACTTCATATATAGATAGTATCAACCAAACAAACAAATTGGTGGATGCGCCGGGTTAATTAAAAATCGTTAATAACTGGTAGTCTGCTATATCTATTGATTAATATTAATTTGTAATACCAATAATAATCTCTAAAAATGTCAAAGGTTATGAATTACGGTGTAGCAAATGCTTTTCATAACTAATGTCCGAATTAAAATTAATGCTCCCATGACGCCATTCAAAAATCCATAAAAAACGTTCAAAACCGCTGATTAGAATTTACAAAATACCCCATAGACCAAAATTATTTTCTCTTATACATAGTGTCCTACTTTTGAGGCCCAACATATCTACAACTGAGTTTTTTTTTATTGGAACACTCTATATGAGTATTCCATTTTTCTTCTTATGCTTTTCATACTTTGTTTCAAATGAAAAAATAATAACTTCTTTTCATAATCAAAATCAAAATCCAAAATCCGTGAAATTTACAATGCTAGAACTGGTATTTAGTAGAAGCTAAAACAGCTTAAAATATATTCAAATTTTTGAAATTTTTAACTATAAACTTAAAAATCAAATTGACAGACCCATATATATAGCATCGAGTCATCAAAATTGCTTCAAAGAGTTGCTGCTCCCTGTTTTTGCCATGAAGTTTGTCAACCTTGTGACAGATTTGTATACGATTACGTCGCAATTAATCGAGTGGGGGGATAAAGGAATTGTTCCAACAATTTATATCCACCCTTAAACTTAGGTAAATATTCTGTTCTACAGACAGGGCCATGTTAAGTATACAAAAATTACTTGACATACACCCTGTAAAGCTTTTATGACTTAAGCGGCTTAAACTATCATAAGTCAAACTGGCTATTGTATAACTTAACTCAGTTCACATATACCTAGTAAAACTTTAAAGCTCCATTATGGCAACAATTGACAGTAATAATCTTTGCAATTCTAGTTCATAAAGCGTACAATAGCCAGGTTGACTTATAGGTGATTTAGCCGCCTAAGTCATAAAAGTTTTACAAGGAGTGTGTCAAGTGAATTTTGTGTAACGCAATCGAATATGGACAAATGACAAATCTAAAATTCGTAATTTCAAATCTGGCAACTAATATTTTAATAATGTGTGGTTCCGTAGAATGTTTACTGAGAAGTTTTAAAAAGTTGTATCATTACAAACAGGTCTCCTCTAATCTCTTAAAATTTTGAGAACACATCAACTTAGGAAAGATGATTAATGAAATCTTTATTAAAAATTACGTTCCGTACATTCCGGCCTAGCGATACACGCTAGACTTGAGAGACGAATGTATATATGTATAAATAACGTGAGTTGTTTAGGTAGTGGTGGTGGTATTACTGTACAGCTGACACCACAGCAACATTGTGTCAGCTGACTTATCAGTTTCCAAAGTTAAATAAAATAAATTGTTAAAGGTTATGATGACATTAATTTACGTCAAATTTAGAACAGTAGTACCACCCAAAGCTCTAATTCCGTTTATTTTCGGTACTACTTTAACAGTCTTCATTAAACTCATCTCTCTCTTTATTTTCTTTCGTGACGATCTATACGCAATACCAAAAATTTATAACATCGTCCAACAAAGAGAGAATACATTTTTGAAGTCCTACCGCTTCAACAGATGTTTTTGTCGATAGGACTTCTTATCTTTTAGTTCAAAGACATGGAAATAAATTCAGATAAATTCGAATGCGACTTTAATCTACGCCCTGGACGATTCGACCTAAATATTTAGTATTGAAATGAAACGATGTTTGGCATCTACTTTACATTCTTCCAGGAATTTTTCTCTAATAAGTCGTGATCAAAATTGAAAGCCACAACTGAGCTCGAAAAAACCCTAAAAGAACAAAGGCAGTTGTGACTTAAATCTCAAACTGATAACCAATAAAAAAATCTAGTGTAGAAAAATCCTGAAGACTATAACCGAAACTAAACGAGACACATGGTCTCTAATAAAAAAATGATGTCTACCATCAGGTACTTTCGATTCTCATAAAAAGAAACAAATTACTTATTAGATAAATTTGGTGTTTAAAGTACTATTTGTTATTTAATCATAATGTTATATATTCCTTGGATAACATCATAGATCCTAAACTATTTTTTTAACAGTAGAAAGGCTATAACGTTAACTGTACCATGTAGCTATTAACTGTAAGTGTAAAGCTGACTCTGTGTATTAAAACTGTGGCAGACACAAAAGTATATATTTTTGTTCTATGTGACGAAATGGGAAACAAATACTTTGAATTTTCTTTCGAGATTTCAGTTAGAATATACCGGGTGACTATTAATTATTATTGAAACAAATTTTTGTGTTGGCAATTCTGAGTTATTGGCATCAGCGCTAATACATAAGTTCACAGTTGTCACTTTGACAATCAGGTATGCCATCATAAAATTTTAAATAGGTTACTAAAGGTTTAATAAAAAAAAATCACAAACATTAATAGTCGTTGATATATAAATCGGTAGCATTCAGTCATAGATTTTACAGGTATTTAAAGAAAAATAACACATTGTGGCTCATTTCTTAATATAAAAATAATACAAGCGAAGTACAAAAAGTAATTTTTCAGTAACAACTTACGTTTTTAAATTCAACACAAGTTTCTAATGTTAAAATTCTTTAACATCTCATCATTTGTACATAACATCATATTTTCGATGTTTCCCTTTTCGATTTCACATGCCTGTTGCATGAAGACACCTGTAATTATATCTTTCTAATTCCAAACTCTTCACTCTTAAATGCACACACAATGTCTGCACTGCTACCTATAGGTAAACAAATACACACCCTCAAATTCGTTCTTTCAAGAGAGCTGCTAATTGAATAGTCTCGAGCCAACTCGCTCTTTTATAAGAACGTCTTTCGTTACAAACTTGCATGTAGTCGTTAAACTTTAAACCGAGTTAATTTTAATAGTGTTGCAAATGTAGTTAAGTTTCGTTCTGTGTTTCCATGGGATTTCATTAGCAGAATTATGTCGCATTACATTACAAACAAACGAAAAATTCCATGGACGCCTGTATTAGTATTATTATACACGGAAAGCTAATTAATATTAATCAAAATTGCAGCAATTGTGGCCCTTCCAGACCTTCAGCAATTCTCGCGGTCATCGCATGGTGGCATTTCCTGACGACCCTCGCCAGTCTTTGACCGAGAACCCTTTTACGACCACATCTGAAAACGAGGAAGACGAATCCGGGTCGATGGTCGTTTTGGGTAAAGGAACTCCGGACAACTTAAAATTTGAATGGGTCATTTCCGATTGGTCCAAATGCTCCGAAACTTGCGGCGGAAATGGCTTTCAGATGAGGGTAATCCGATGTATTGTTAGGTTACACAATATGACACACGGTGTCGACCATAACTTGTGCGAAGACGCTGGACTGCCCCTTCCAGCGACCGAGCGTGAATGTGCCTCGGACGAGTGCACCAGATGGGCCACTTCCGAGTGGACCCCGTGCGAAAAATCCAAGTGCTTCAACTGGCATACAGGTAGATTATGTGCATTGGAAATTTTAGCTCATTGCTAATTCATTTGGATTTAGCCATGCAAAGGAGATTAGTCAAGTGTAAGGTTGATAATGTGACGGTATCAGAGTCGAAATGTGATGAAGACAGTAAGCCAACACACAGGCAAGAATGCACAAATGAGAAATGTGTCGGCAAGTGGAAAGTTGGCGCTTGGTCAGAGGTAAATTTTATTTTTTTAGCGAAATAAACTTTTTGATTTTGTACGAGGTGAATTGAGGACGCAACCCAGAATATATCTCCGAAGGATTCGTAGATGTATTTATTTATTTAATATAGTTAATTATAATTTTGACAAAAACATCTCTTTTGAAACTGTGGCAATTTACAGTGCGCCGCCGCTTGCGAGATGCAGGGTGTTAAGTATAGGATTCTTCAATGTGTTTGGTACGGCACCAAAAAACCAGCAGGGACAGCCTGCAAAGATCTTCCCCGTCCTCCAGTCATGAAGTCCTGCAAAGGGTCTCCATGTGCTCCTGCAGGTAACTGATTTGCATGCACTTTACACCGAAATCAAATGATTTCATTTTAGATACAGAGTGTAAAGATCACTCCATGTTCTGCCCAAATGTGAAAACTATGAATATGTGCAAGATACTAAGGTATCAGCAACAATGCTGCCAGACGTGCAAGGCAGCTTAAAATTTAGGAAACAAGAAGTGGATGAAATAATTTGTTTGAAAAACAGTGCTGTTGTTATATGATTAGTGAGCAAGATAAAGAAGACGTGAGAAGTGTGTTCAAAAATGACTTTATTATATCAGCTAATATAAATTTCCTTGGACGAAAAAGTGCTGCACTTAGCAATAGTAGATATAATTTAATAAGTTTAACTCGTCTCAGCTTCTGCTGATCTGATGTATATTAATGTACTACCTGGTCGTATTTATTGGAGAAATGTTTGCCACCTAATAAATGGGAATCAACGTTAGTTTTATGAGACGGCAGGAATTCTCAGATAGAAACGACACATTCAAGACTGATGTTTTTTGTTACATTTATTTGTTGGATGTATATGTACTATATAAATCCCATGACATTCCATTATTACCGGTATTAAATATTAGACTTCTTAAGAAAGTAGGAAAATGTTACATGTAATAATTCCAAAACGTAGACTTAAGAAAGGACTTTTGTTGTAAGTGAACTTTTGGGTTGTTGCATATTTATTAACCTCAATATGTACCTGCTTTCATTATTTCGTAACGATTGTGATTATATTTTTATATAATTGGCACAAAATGCGAATTCCGTTTACTTAGAATGCCACAAATAAGTAAAATTATGCAATAAACTCAAATTTTCTAAAAAAATTTATAGAGGGTGTTACGTCCAAATGGATTGATGGATGAACTATTTTGATAGGATATTAGCTGTAGGTAATTATAATTAAGTATTTTTTTAAGAGTTACCACCAATTTTTTGTTTAGGTGTTCACTTCTTATTATCATTGTCAGTATTTTCGCAGTAGTTAGGATTTAGTCAAATTGTATGATAATTATTGAACATGTAAATATTTTGTTTTAACCTACTCTTGTAAACATTTTTGTACATAATGTTATGTTATAATTTATTGTCGCCATATAACTTTTAAGTTTTTACAGTGTTGATTTACAAAATTTTCAATATACCGGTACTCTGATAAAATTAATATGAAAATGCTTTAAATTCCAAACTGGACGCTTGAATTTGTATAAAAATAAACATAAGGAATGATAATATGTAAATTGTAAAAAAATAAACGAATTATTTAATTATTGATGAAAAATGATAGTCAGATACTGTTAACGATTGCCTAAGAGTATATACAGCTTATGTTAAACAATGTTATACTTATATTAATTAACATAACACATGTAGTATTATTGTAAAATAAAATATTATTGTCAATATTGACAGTGATCGAAGCAAAATGTTAGCCTAAACGCCTGGTTTCAGTGGCTTATCTCGGATTAAATCCGCAATCGTTCCATTTACGATACGCCACTGCTTACGTTTTAGCTAATGTTCCAAAATTATATTTCAAATACAATTACCACTATAAAAAAATAGCGTTGAGTGGAAAAGTTTATAGCAATTTTTATTGTTACTACTATTATTATTATACCTTAGGTTAACATCATTTATAATTCCTTAGATCGTTCCATTTTGTATTCTCTAAACAAATGTAGTTAAATAAAATGACGTTACTTTTGAATGATTTAAAAAAAATGTTTATTTCGCAATATTAATAAATTTTGTTCTTTTATCTACGTGGCTTTATAACTTTCTACAATATTTTTCCAACGTTCCAATAAAGCATTTTCCGGTTGCACCCACATCTCTTCTAACAAAGCCCATCCAGGTTTTGATGTTACCAAAATATATGAATTGTCTGGATCCTGAAGACTTGAATATGCCCCAAGAACCAAAGACTGGCAAAGTCGACCTGCTATACACACCTGAAAAAAAACAACTGTAAATTCGATTTTCGTACGACACTTACCCACCTTCAACAGTTTAAATTCCTCTAGTGGTATTTCTCTAACGGAACTGTAACCTGCTAGAACGTGACCGCCAACATCAAGACTTTTCCCTTGGATCATCATATATGTCATGGTGACTGCCAACTCATAGATATAACACGCAAGATGGCTATCACCAAAATCTAATACACCCTTAATACACCAAACACCATCTTTTTCTTCTACTAAAATATTTTGCTCATTAAAGTCCCCGTGTATCATGCCGCGTTTCATATTTGGACCCATGGGCAACACCCTCTTGGAAAACTCTTCAATCACTTCTTCTACTATTTTCTTCCGATTGGTATCAGACACAGCATATAAGAACTGTGACAGTTGTGGAACCGATTCTAGATGCCAAACGGTTTTGTGATTATCGTAGGCGGGATGATGAAAGTTCTAACATAGAAGAATAATTAAGAGTGGCAACTGGGACATTAAGCATTTAATGTTATTACCTGTAGTGCCTCATCCAACGAGGCGACGTATTTTCCGCTTTCATAAAAAAGATTCGTTGAAGAAGGCACTTGATGCAGAATTGACCCATCAATAAATTCTAGTAGCCTCACTATATGTTTACCGCTGGAAAATTGTTTAATTATGTAATAGTGGCCAGTTTTGTTTTGTACAGGTGTGGGGCAACATATGCCTGTTTTACCTAAAAATCAAAATTAAGTGAATATAAATTCCTCAAGGCAAAATTATCAAACGAAAATAAAAAAAAAAGTGGCCCAAGAGGGGATCGAACTGTCGACGTCCGCCTTTTCAACACACACTCTAACCAACTGAGGTAACAAGCGGCAGGTCAACGTTTCCCTCCTACGAGTATTACTGTAATTTTGTTTTTTTTTTTAATCTGGAAGCCAAAGGTAAAAACTCAAAACGAATTCATAAACACAAGTATGTTATTTTATAAAATTTAAATAACATGTACCATGCAAAAGCTTGAGGTGACGTCATCGAATTGTTGGTAGAGATGATTAGACAAATTTTGGTTAGCGTTTTATCATTCCTAAATGACGAAATTTGACTATAATCGGTTCGATCTGAGATTATTTGTCTAATAAAAATCGACACAGACAACAGAGGAAAATGAGAGACCTATTTTTTCATACTCTAGAGATAATGAAACGTCAAAAACACAAGATTCCCCATGGACCACTTTTTTCAAAAACTGTGACTGATATTGTCTGTATTTTTTTAACTTATAGGAGTTATCATAAAATAAATAAGACTTCGCAAGATCAAATTTTATCGAAGAAGCTGGATTTCTTGGACTGTATATCAGGGACATGGGAAGTTGTATCCAATTAGCCTTTTTATATGCAAATCTTTTACTGTACTTTTGTCAACTTCCAACTCAAAATTTTATTTTCGCAAATCACGTAAATGTCGTCGTTACGAATAAATTTTGGGCCATCATCAGGCGTATAATTTAATTTTTGTAAATATGCAGGTAATTTTAAATAATAACAATCGGTGTTGAATTTTTAGTAAATAAGACAAAACTAAATTTTGACTAGGTAGGTGAAAATTTGGCCAAACTTTTCTTGTTATAATTTCAGCAATTAAAAATTAGTGGTTTGACACTTATAATTCTGGAACAGCAACAGTGTAACATTTTTTTATTTTAAGTTTTTTATAATGAACATAAAATATAAATATCACTTATTAGCTTATTACTAAACAATTTCGCAAACATATTGCGACATAATTTAAATGTACATCATATACTTTTTAATAACACTTTTTACTCACCCAAATAAACAAGCAGTTCATTTTGTGCCTCAAAAAACTGTGGTTTTTCGGAATCCAAAGAATTCACAATTTTTAAAGTATATCCGGATGTATTGATCTTTTGAATGTGACTGTTGTCCCAACTTTCTTCAACCTTAACATGGTAATTATTGTCATCATATCCGTTTAATTCTTTCAGTGAAGTACATTTTAATCCATATACTTCACTTAAAATGATATTGATTTCGTTATGAGACACCACAGGTTTGATAGATACACCTGGCTTTAACACTGTGTAATCTTTCGATGCCATTGTCTTATTTGTCTTAACTAGCAACTTAGTAATTATAAAGAAATGATCTTGTAGTCCCGTCGTGATAAGTTAAAGATAAGAATACTACAATGATGATAAGAATGATAGTGAAGACGGAAAGGGTAACGTACTGGTCGTTTACTGAAAATTATCTTTGAGAGGGAAATGGCGAGTCTTGACCTTAATCAAATTAATCCATTTGACCTCGGTTCTTTTCATTATTGATTAGACTTAATTTACATTTTGTGCTGCGTTTTGTGAGCATAAAACTACCAACCAATTTAAAGTTTCCACTTGATTATTGTGTAGGTGCGATAACAAATTACATCATTCGGTGAATCGCTGATTTTGATCAAAATTAAAACATGGTTATCATTGATCCATTGAATAAGATATCAGTGCTCCGTTGTTTCTACCTGTTACTGCGTAATGAAGGGAATCATTTTTGTTGGAACGTTTAGCGGCAATCTCAAATTGTATCAAAACCGTAAGATAAGTTGCTGCTGAACCGATAACCTAAAAGAGTAATTATAATATTACTAATAACGATTATAGTCCGGCTTTGACGTCCGGTATGGCTAAACAATGTCTTACCCCATAAAAAAGAGTCATGTCGATATTAAAGAAATCGAACGCTGTAAATTTGAAGTCACAGTGCATTATTTGCTTGCCGAAAAGATGTATCTGACAAAAAAAATCATCTCATCCAAAGTGTTTCCAAAAGTGCAACCTCCAATAAACTGCTCAAGATTATGGTACCTGCTTATGATTTACAACGTATGTTTGCTTAAAATGTCGGATGTACGTCTAATTCATAGACCTTTGTTCCCTCCAGACAACCAACCGGGGTTGTAAATTATCATTATCATAATCCTAAGCGGCTTATTGGTGGTTTCCAGTACACAGAAACTCAATATATTGCGCTTTCATTTTATTACCTGCGTTGCAACCGTCTTTTTAAACCTTTGCTTCAACTGATACAATATTTCGCCTGTCTGATTCACCTGAAAATTGATTCGAGCCATTGAATTGAAAATACTAATGTTTAACCTCACCTCATTTTTCGTTATAGCACAGATCACCGATATCGAAAGCAATTCCGCGAATTTGGCAAAAGTCCAAATTATTGTTGTAGGAAGATCGTCAAAACTGCTATTATTATTTATGAAGTTGTCAGAAATTACATCAAAAGAATAATAAGCATTTGTTGTGAATCCAACAAAAGCGAATCCGATTACAAGCAGAATTTGTATGCTAAAATATTCATTTAATAATTTCCCAGCAAAACAGAGTCGGAGATGTAAAGATCTAAGCTTCACAATCGTTCCCTTATCACCATTCTGTATTGTCATGGGATGAATTTTGAAGCAGTTAATTTTCTCGTAACCCTTTTTATTTTGCGCAAATTTGTTTATTAGCAGCGAATTCAGCAATTTAAATCTGTGTTTCAGCAGTAAAATGTACGTGAAAAATTGAATCTCTTCTAACACAATTATGGTGATTGCTAAAACACATATCAGGTTGCAAAACGTATTCGACGACATGACTGCGCAGATGAATAAATAACAGTCTAAATATTCCACACATGCCATAACAGTTGCAACGAATAGTAATACAACTAAAAAACCAAAAATTATTTAAAAAAAAACAAGTTCAGTTGGACAAAACATGTAATAAAAAATTTCGTATGCTTGTGGGGCAACATACAACCAAACTCTACTAATTTGTTGTCGACGATATGTATTTCATTTAAAGCTTCAATAATACACTCTTTTCTGACATAATTGGATCCAAATATGAACATAACCACAACTGTTGTTCCATAAGTTTGAACTAAATCTGCTATTCCTGTAACCGCATTCATTTTCAAAACCAGTGAGGGAGTCACGTAGTCCGTTAAAATGGCGTGAAAAACTAAAAAAATGGTGGTTTTATCCACTGCGCAATTACCTACTTACCACATTAGCAAAACAATTTAAATGTAATAAAAATAACTACAATTTTCTTAATAACACCTTTATCTAAATTAAAACACCGTGAAATTGAAAAGATAACACGATTAGAAAAAAGGTAGATGTGGATAGATATAGTTTTAATGTATCTACATTCACATTGTACGTTCAAAATTGCACAACCAACTCCGAACATTAAATTTTCTGACGTTCGTTATTATCACTAACCACTTACCAAAAAATGGCGTTAACATAATGCAAGAATAAATGAACATGTAACGACAGAGTATATATTTGCGATCATTTTTTACGTTGTGAAACCTGTACGGTATAACACCAAATACTTTACAACAATAAAATAAAGGATTTATTGAATCGTACAAATCCATTATTGAAAATACTAAATTCTTGACACAAACATAGGTAACCCACAGCAGAATAAATGTGTTTGTTAGCATGTTAATATTTTACATTAACCTATGCTTCTAGTTTAATTGATTTAATTCATAACTGGATATTGAAAGTCAATAACATAAATATTTAATAGTGACCGATGCACTCAATTTAATTTGAATCCATCCATATTCACCTCTTCTTTTTTTTTTAATTTCCCGTCTTCAATAATTATGTCCGTGAAATGGATGTGCATTATTTCGTGTTCAACTCCGATTAGTATTTCTTCTTCCTTAATTTTTTTAAGTTTTATTGTTTTTAAACAGGACACGATTGCTGTGCAGATATATTTGTAATTATAACAGTAGTTTAAAGCTATTTTTGTATAAACTCTTTACATTACCACAAACACATTTTGCTTAGCAACTTCATGGATTACGTCACGGGGCACTACGCTGCCACTAATAATAATTATTTGGAGCCTCTAATGTGCCTCCCGCATTGCCTCAGCGCCCTCCAGCAGCAATTTCTATTAATTTTCATCAAAGAATTGTACACAAACAACCCAATGCTGTATTTTTTTATTTGGGTAGAATAAAAGACACTTAAAGGACACCAAGAGAGAGAGAGAGAGAGAGAGAGAGAGAGAGAGAGATTTGCCTCTTTCAGAGCCTTGGATATACCTACCTCAATAAGGAAATCGAATTTTTGAAAAACGTAACCAGCTGAATGCACCCAAAGACGAGCTAAGAATGCAAAAACTGTGTAAACACATTGTTGGGATTGTTGACACGACGTACACTCGTGCGTTAACGTATCTATATATTTCCTGGGTCGCACCACCAAGTTGAGGAGGCAATCACTTGTGTGTGAAGAGTTGCAGAAACAAATGCAGGGGTTAGAGGTAAAATAGCGAAAGTGTCTTTGCTGGAGGTTCGAGGAGTGGCTTCCAAGTGGGTGCTAATTTTGAATGACTCCCTTTAATTCTTGATTTGTTGGAGTTTTTATTTTATATTACCTGTTATGATATGGCGCAAATCGAAGACCACAAAAACTGTGCTAAAAGCACGATTAGAGTGAATTTGGGGGGTGTTAAAGCAGTGGCGGAACAGGCATGAAATTCTAGGGTGGGCCAACGGTTGGGCCCTCAAAATCTTAATTGGGCACGCATTGCAATGTTATATGTATGTATAACCGCATAGAAGTGACTTACCCCTAATGAAGTAATATTCGACGATTGTTGTGAGCAGCATCGAATTCTTTAACAATATCTTCGATGTTCGAAGATTTTGCCACGACAGATTCGACGTTGGTCACAGCAAGATAAATTAGTCTTTCATTGGTCATAGAATTACGCACACATGTTTTTAAACGTTTTAAAGTGGAAAAAGTACGTTCACATGCAGCACTGAATACTGGAATTTTAGCACTAATAACCGCTAGTTTGTAAGTTTCAATAAATACAATTTTATAAATTTTTAACATGTCTAAAAGGTCCATTATTGTCGTGATTTTCATGTTTTTTTCATTTTCATACATTGCCAACGTTGTTGGACGTATCATAAGTTCTGATTTCAACAAATCCAAATTACTTTGATAAAAAGTGGCTAAAGGAGTTAAGGCGTCAAAATTTAAAAGTAAAGCATTGCTAGGATGCAAAGCTGCAACATCATCTGTGGGCACCGGGTTCATTTGCCGGGACTAAAAAAATGTTTTCGAGGTTTTATTACAAAACAAGTTAAAAATTTACACCGGTATTCCTAGAAAAATTGAGGTGGGCACCAGGGTGGGCCGCAAAGTTTTTAGTTGGGCCATGGCCCACCCTGGCCCCCCCTCAGTTCCGCCACTGTGTTAAAGCCGTGGAAGTATGATTAATCCATTAAAGAGTTCTTTTTAACACAAAAGATATGGTGTACCCCAAAACTATTCTGACGAAAATAATATTTTATGTGTTCCTCACTTGTAAACATCAATTTACCAAGTCACTGTATTCAACATGAAAATGTCACTTAACTCGCTATAGCCTGTAAAAATTTATCTGGCTAGCCAGTAAAATTTTTACAGCCCTGCTCGTGCTCATACAGTCATGTATTTTAAACTATTATAAGTTGAAATGACAGTATAGACTGCACCAGGTAAGTTATTTATTTTATCGCCAACCGGCAATAGAGACATGCATTACCATAGCGATTTTCGGAAGTAAACAAACACTTTATTTTACTGTAAAAATCAAGCACTTTACCTGCCGCTCATAATTGTCAACATAACCATGACTGTATGACATTCTGTCTGTCACTGTCACGGTTCCAACGAGAAAAGTTCTGATACGATTGCAGAGTCCTATGTTGAGGAATCTGTGCTCAATAAAAAGAAAATCGCAGAGACAATTTTAGGTGAAAGTCAAACTGACAACATATTTGTTACCAATGATAATTTTACTCAAGATTCACCTAATGAAATTATTAGCACGGCTAATCCTCAAACATTTTCACTTCAAACTCCTTCGACTTCAGGACTCAATTTTTATAATCCGTCAGGTTGTACATTTACATTTAATATAACAAGTAATAAGTAGATATCTTTTGACTCATTGTTATTATTATACGTTTACTGTCATAATAAAATGTGATAAGTCATAACATTTCCATTATTTTTAATTATAAATTTTTAAGGTTGGCGATAAAAATTTGTATGCACCACGTCAGTAAAGATCTTTATCGAACTCGCCTGTTACTCGCCTCGCTCGCTTCGCTCGCTCGGCTCATAATCTCAGACTCGTTCGATAAACAATCACTTTACTGACTTGGTACATAAATAACTATTATTTGATGTAATTGAAAATCTATTATAATCATTTTGTAGAACAACCTAGCAGACTTAATAATAGAATAGATATATTAAAATTCCAAAATTTGATATAGTTTGTGCAGTGCCCTAGCAATAACAACTGTCGTTTCTATGAAAAACATCATACCAGTGATGAGCAGAAGCCAGAGATTACGGATTTAAAATTAATTGAAGGCCGAAAGCGAGAATTGCTTAATTGAAGAAAAAAACGAAACCATGAAAGATTTGTCACTAAAGCAGTGGAAGCGTTCTTAAAAGACGCGAACTGCGTCAAAGAAAACGTTTGTTAGCGCTCCTGGCGGGGACATCTGTTCCGTCCCCTCCACCCGCAAGGGTGGGCCAGAGCCACCACCCACTTTGAAATAAGGGTGGTGAGAACCACCAGGTAAATTGAATTCAATATTCACAGAGAGACTGACTCAAATACTTCTCGACCGTGAGGTCACATATTCTCTAAATCTTTTTTGTATATACCTACACTTATTACTGTCAATATACTTCTATCCTACAAGTTCGCTGGTCTTATCATTATACAAACTAAAACATGGTCCTTCGAGCCGGATCAGCGACAAAACAACAGTGATAGTGATAAGTGAAATACGGTAAACTACGAGTTCAGTCTCCACACATCTCAACAATCAGCATTCATCGCTACGGCATCAACAGAAAATTCAAGAGTGCCAGAGACGATCAGGTAGGCCCAAATTCATCTAATTAACGTGTGCATTTTCCGTAATAAGATGACTAAATCGCAAGACATAACATTAAACAAATTCTTAGCTATCGTTGCGGAAGTGAACGCGCACCGTAACTTTGTATCAGATCCGGCAAACCTGTGACGAGCCGTCACTAAATTCGTTCACGAGAAAATTGTAACTAAAAAGACTAATAACAAACCCTCAAAACATAACTAGAAAATTTGCAAATCTTAATTAATTAACACGCATGTTCTAATCGGCAGATAGTACCATTCAAATAGATAAACAAAATCAACTATCAATCCCCAAATGCAGGAACAAAATTCGCGTATTCGCAAATTGCGAATAACATTGCGCTTGCCAGACACTGCAAATAACTTGTACAAAATAATACGCCAGAAACATCGCCAATCGCAATTACTTTCATATAAAATTGTATCCAAACTAAAACAGCTGCAAACGAAACCCAGACACATAAACAACCTCAGAAAAAACGCCCTCTTTAAAAATAGTTACAACAAGCTAACCACATGTAGCGATGACGACATGAAAAGCATGACGCAAGTTGAAAAAAACCCGAAAATATACGACACACTAACCAATAAAAAACGTCAGCCGCGGAACCATAATTAAAAGCTAAACCCTATATAACAACGAAATAAAACCTAAAATCCCGTACCGAGTAATACACTAATCATGAAGAAATATAGTCCACTAAAGTCACGGTAGACAAGAATAATGAGTAAAAATCCCTATATAAGCAGTAGCGCCGAAAACGGTTTAAGTAGAAGTTTCCAGTTGCCGCCGAAGGCTCTGCCCAAACCGGTGTCGAGAATTTTTATTAATTTTTGCTGAATTTTGAAGAAATCCGAACTTAGAAGAATTTGCTGAGCCCGAGAGGAAGATAGAAAAATTCTCAATGCTGCAGCTGTGTAAGTCTACCTTTTAGTCATTCTTAATTTATCTTGCTTTCCGTTTTTTCGTCATGTGTTCTCGAGTTCGAATCGTACATGTGTAGCGTTTAATTTCTGCGTTTTCTCCGTTACGTTGGGTGTGAACAGTTAGCGCCGGCACCGAAAGTAATCTTTAGTGCCTCCATATGTTCCCGTTTGCAGGTGGCACGTTTAGCCTTGCGTTGGTTCTTGATTATTGGGGAGGATTTTTCGATAATTTACCGTTCGCTTTTATGATAATTATTCCAAATTTCTGTAAATTGCCGATTTAACTCTTTTGCTTGCGACATAAATATTTTATATGCGTTTTTGGAGAGGATTTTTCTGATTTTTACCATTTGCTTTTATAATAATTATTCCAAT